ACAACAAATTTGTTCAGTTGTACACATTTTTCTGTATTTGATGGAAGAATTGGTAATATGGTTGTATATTATTTGCACTTTAATGAATACATGCGACTTTGGCTATAATTACTGTCCGTTTAACCTTGCGACTCTTCGAGGTACGGAAAAGGATTCTCTCAATACTGCATTTATGTCCACATTTATATTACGATGTATATTCAAGGACGAGAGTCCATTAATGCGATCTTCATTCATTGTTGACCTCAGGTAAGATTTCAATCGTCGCAGCATCGAGAAATACCGCACATTGGTTGCTGTGGTAACAGACAAATCGGCATGATACGAGCACTTGGCAAAGCATCTATTTTAAAAATTTCAAGTGGCTCTAACAGATTCTAAAAAAAATGCAGATGCAATACGTTCCCCATACACTTCACACCTGAACTTAACTTATCCCTGTTTCCGGGAATATATCATGCAAGATAGTCGCGTATGATTGAAACAGAGCCGTACAAGCCGCTTCATCAAAATTTTGCATTCTTTTGGGCAAAAGCAAAATTAGCAAAAATATCACGATGGTTCAAAAAGCGATCCAAGTATGGAATATATATGCTTACCCGATAATAGTCTTCAACCCTGTCGGTTATGATGTTACAGCGATGTGTCTGCCTTCTAGGCAATTTTGGTTAATGCTAAGAATCGACGCCCTGGGTAATTCTCAACCCGAAATCAAAGGAGTCCATTCCTAGCCTTGGTAAATCTCTCTGATATCAGTCATTTTCAAAGTGGGGGTAGTTTTGACGTAAATATTTATCACAACAAGGCTAACAGGTTTCTTATCATTCAATTTTTCTGTTTATAGCAGATTAAAAAATATATCAGCCCATTTCTTGATAAATATTATTTTTCGTTTATAATTGACCAAAAAGTAATTGCGGATTTTTTTCGCTTGTATTTTCTATGCAATTGTGAGACCGATTTCTTCAAGTAGTCGCCTTTAATGTAAAAGAGAATCATATTTTCAATTTCGATTCAACCAGAGGGGACGTTGGTTTAAATCCCTACCCACGTGCGCACGGCCCTGCCAGCAAGGTTTCTTTGTCTTTACTCCAGGTGCTGCCGGCTAGCGCTTTGAGTATTTTGTTTCGGCTCTAGAGTTTTGCAGCAATTGCAGTCTTATGCGGAGTGAAGGAGTGCAGGTTACCAAATATGATTCCCAGTAACATTGGGTTATTTATGGTTGGAATTTTGACGCCATCGACTTTCACATCTAGTTCGAGCCTTTATTCCTTCGTCCAGCTTGTGAAAAGGGTAGCTGAGAATTTGGTGTGTTGAATTTTGAGTTATCGTGCAGGGAAAAAGTGGGACTAATCGTCGAGATAGACGTTCACTTCCGAACAAAGATCAGCAATGTTTTGACAAGCCGCCAATGTCGAGCAGTATGGTAGGTCAAGAAACCACCTTCTGGTGGAGGAGGGAGCTTCCAAATATAAAGAAGCTTAACAATAATGGGGAGAGGACACCACTCTGCGGAACCCCTTGTTTAATCTTCCTTAATTGACGACCCCTTAGATAGCCCAGGATTCACTTCTTCAACCCCGGCGGTGATGAGGATTCCTCAATAGTAGGAATATCCAATACAACCGATTTTAAATTCCTACACAAACATCTGGGCATGACTATGGCCAGCGCAGGATGAGAGCCAAAAGAAGGCTTACGCCTCTGCAAACACAAAGGTCTATATTTACGTGCATTTTCGGAACTCTGTAACGAAAAGAAGGATGGTGTATGGAGTCGAATTATCGAATTGGAGACTAAACTTGGGTTCATGGTTATGAAACTGAGTCGAAACTAGACTCCACGCAGTGGTATGCAAAGGGCACAGTAGCTCTCAAGGAGTTTTAAGTGTCACAGACAGATGGGAAACTCATAGCAACGGTCTCGGAAGAAATATTATTGATCAATTATAAAGACAAAGGTGTTACTAGAACTTAAGAATACAACGCTTCAATATTACAAAGGAAGTGATTAAAGAGAATATTCGTGGAAAATTGACCCTACATAAGGTTCGACCTGAACTCGAGTGATTATTACCTGTTTCCAAAATACTAAAAGAACTGACGGTGAAGATAAAGAGGATATATATTATAAATTCCCCCTGCGGGTTAGGGGCTCAAGAATTTACCCGCGGTAAGGCATGCCTGTCGTAAGAGGCGACTAAAATCCAATAGTTCCCGCGACAGTCGGGTCTTTATATCGGAACGACCTGGATTTTTATCTGGCCAAGAACTGTCACTCCCGCAACATCCCCCAAAAAGTACTTTGGGGAAAAATTTTGCGGTTACAACAACAACAACAACATAAAGTGGATATAAATAATATAATTGAAATATCTGAAAGATGTATCCGTCTTGCATGTAAATATATTGAAAAGGAAAAATAAATCGTTTTTATTACAATTTAAGCTTCAAACATTTTCTATTCCAATTGACTTAGCGAATACTTTTTCCAAGGAGTTTAACTATAATATATATATTGTACATATATATGTATATGTGCATACATGCCATTACGAGTGAATGATTAAAAACTCTTGAATTTTATTTTCGCTTCGCATTTTTATTTTGTTCATTTATTTTTATTTCTTCATTGAGCTATAAATGAACTACAAATGCGGCAAAAGAATGATTACATACATAAAAGCAAAAGAAAAAAATAAAATAAATAAAAGAAAATGAAAAAGAAAAATAACATAATCATATTAGCAAACAAATTATAAACAAATGTCATACAGATATATATGTACATATATTGTATAATGGCTATACATACATGCAAATATATGTTTGTATAATGAAATCCAGTGAATACACGTATGTGAGCTGTTTTGCTAATTAGGCAACTTAATATTTAGCGTACAAAGTGTTATTGGATTTTGTCAGTATCAGCGACACTGATGCTTTATCACGTGTTCTATCGAAATGCTTCATCGAGACACACATACATACGAATGAATATTATCAAAGGTAGAATACTCGAATAAATTGTGAAAAAAAAAAACATTATAAAAAAGTTGAACAATTGCTAAAATAAAAATAAAAAGAATTAAACTGTCTAAAGTCATAGCCAAAAACTAAGTCTGGGCTAATTTCTGGCGGAGCTGAACATTTAACACCCGATTGATTGGGTTGAGTACGTGCCCATCACAATTTAAATTTACTCAATGTTAGTATTATCGTCCAACAAACATTCTCTGTTTTGCTCTCAACAATAATATTCAGACATTTTTTATTCAAGGAAAACAAAAAAGCACGTAAAATAGTTAAGTAATGTTAATATTGAAAATTTCTTCATAAAGGAGTGTAAAATTTTAATCCATGACTTGCCATATTTTTCACCCCGCTTTCAAAAGTTTGACAAATGGCCTCAGTGGTACGATGCCTACAAAGTTCACCTTACTTGGTTACCACGAAATACATATCAACCGCTTTATCCCAATTTTAGACTAGACAGTAGCAGCAAGATTTAAAAGGCTGTACGAAGCCGCTACAAAAACAACAACAACAGAAGTTGTAATCACTACATGTGACAAAAAATGACTGATAGGAGACAACAGGCTTGAAGGCAAACATACATGCATACATTGCAGTTGTTTCGATGGGTTCGGTCCTACCTACTACCGCGGTGAAGAATTTTCCCTCATTAAGGCATGCCTTTTATAAGAGGCGACTAAAATCTAAAATTTGCGCAACAGTTGTATCTTTATACCGGAACGACGCGTATTTAAATTTGCGCAAGGACTGTTACTCTCGCAACATTCCCAAAAGACTACTATTTTTACGGCTACGACAACTACAACAACAAGAAACCTATCTCGAAGGAAAAAGAGCAGGTGAGAAAACCGAAATATTTTCATTAGTTAGAAATGAATGAATGAAAATTTTAAACGCTTTAAGTAAATTTAATCCAAAAATCTATGTTAACAGAACTTTACTGAATTGGACGTAATAAACTTCCAGTAATTTAAGAACCAGATCCCGGAGATACTTTATGAGAAAAAAAATGTAAAACGCAAGCAATTTGTAAAAAATAAGCAAACCCACAGCAAAAATCAACAAACTCTTTAAGCTAATAAGTAAGGGAGGTCACGATATTACTTCCTCTCTCGATTATTTTAAGCTGCTACATATAACTGTTTATTTTACAATGTGAATATACCTAGTGTATGCAGTACTGTATGGTATATAAAACAAAAAAAAGTTTAGATGGCGCTCTTGAATTATCTGCCCCGATAATGGCAAACAACATCTCACCTCTTATGTGTGAATATAAAAATCGTTTATCTACACTCTAGTCGACCGATCGACGCCTCCTTCAAATACTGTGATTTCTTAATGAACTATAAGAATTTTACAAATATATACGTATGTATGTAAGTATACGCAAAAAATTTCGAAAAACTTTGCTGCGAATTACTTACAGTGACCATCTAAAATGGAACTATTTTTAAATTGATCGAGCAAATAAAATGAGAAAAAATTAATTGCCGGGCGTAAGAAAGCCAAGCGATGATGCATAAGTACACATATAATAAATATACATACATACATACATATATGTGTGTACTATACGCATGTGTAGAATTCACTAAACATAATAACTTGTTTATTAAGTATTCGCATTTGCAGCAAAACTATTTTTGTGGAACTTTCCAATCCAATAAATAATTAGTGAAAATATTTTAAGAAATTATTTATAAATTGGCAAAACACTTAAGGAAAGCTGCTTTGCAAAATATTTATCAGGAAAATGGTAAATTTCCCTTTCACACAATGTATTCTAGATTTGAGAACACTCCTTATATTTATATACATAAATGTTGCATGGTAAAAAATAAAATAAAATTTCCTATATACAAACACTGCCATATCATTGCATAATTTTCAATATTTTTTAGATTTTAAATGTTAAAAAATTTTAAATGGTTGAAAAAAAATCGCTGGGATAGAATGGCTTACCTTGTCCCCATGGGTTGGCTGGTTCCAGGTAACCTGTAACCAGTTCATTATCACTTTTTGGAAATGAGACGCGTCGCGGCAACGCACTCGGGTCTGATCCTTTGCGTAAAGAGCAAGGTGAAACTGTTACACTGCATGCACCCGTTTTGATGATAGCACCGGTGTGACTTGATAATGCCGTTGTTCGTGTGTAATGAAGTGTTTTACCGCTATCTGTCCCTAGAATAGAATCTTTGGACCACATTGCTGTTTGTTTAGTGTCATGATAACTTCTCATTTTCTCTTGCTGCTGATTGCGACACATCTGCGACTGTTCGCCAAAAGTGGAATCGCTTGAGGTGTGCGTAAGATTTTTTGCGTCGCATTCAAATGGCATTGGAGCTAATATAGGCGCTGTTTGAAAAGATTGCAGGGTGGGCGGTAAGGGTGGCTTGCATTTTGTTGTTGTTGGTGGTGTAATTGGTGCCTCCATTGTATATTTTGTTTCTGCTGCCCCAGTAACGTTTATATCTTTGGCAAAATTAGACATTTGCGTACCGTCTCCCACCAAATCATCTGTTTCAGTAGCCATTTGTTTGATTACTTTGCTCTTTATTGCTGAATCGCTAATAGTCAAATGCTCAATGATGGCGCTCGTAGAAGTGATGTGTTTTTCATCACTTACAACACTTGTTATTAATAATTCCGCATTATCAGTAGCAAACATAGTTTTTTTAATTGGTGGTGAGACGTTGTGTGATGTCTCGCCGGATTTAAGCTGGATAGGTATGTGATATCCATCACTATATTGCTGGATGTTACCATCATTTTGAGCCGATGAAGCGGTATTTATTGCATCGACCACCTTAGTCACAGCGGGGGTTGGTATTATTGTTTCTTCACTGATAACTTTATTTTGTTTCTCGTTCTCATTACTCTTATTATAACTCATATTCTCCCAGCGCTTCTTATAATTGATATTGTTTTTATTTCTCTGCGGGCGAAACAAATTAAAAGACTTATGTTAAATATAAAATGATTTACATAATGTATTTTGTTTCAAAAGCGGATAATATATATTCCACAACTTCTAAAAATCTTTTTTGGTAAACTACAATCTAACGTTTGTAGCAGACGTTTGTTTAGCAAAGATACAGACAAATCACAGCCTTTTAACTAATCTAATAAGTTTTACATTTTTTTAGCATTATCTTATTCCGTTTTAGTTTTATAGACTTAATGTTTTGGAATATGTTTGTATGAAAGAAATGTTTTAATAACAACGAAGTCAACTTAGCTTTGAATTGATATTAATTTTTTGGATAAATAATCTATATTAAATCTTGTGTTTAACTCGATGTGGTTAGGATTAATTGTCATCCCTCTCATAAACATTTACTAACTACCAACACAAGGTTTCTTAAATGTTATTACCTTCAAAACTTGATCGTTTTTTACTTTTGTGTAACAAAAAAAATGACAACAATAATTTCAACAATTTCGTGGCAATTTAGATTATTTTAATAATATTCAATAATATCGTAGTCAGTTTTTCCCCTTTAATATTTTGTTTGGAATTTTTGGTTTGCGTTGCACTATTGCGTATGTTTTTTGCACTTTCTCTTTCTTCCTTTCGTTTGCTTTATTTTTCTCACTTATATATAATTTTTTTCTAGGATGTCAATTATTTCTTTTCTACGTTCTGGCGTCTTTATCCACCTTTCACTTTATTTAATTTAGCACAGAATTCGTAAAACTAACAAATTTCTTTTATTTTTATTTTCCACTACTTTCATATGCCATTTGACTTTTATCACATGCTTTTTTGGCCTCCTTTTGCAATATAAATTTTGATCATTTGCACGAGTTCCAAGGAATATATTCAACAAATTTGTTATAATAGTTTTGTGCACATACAAATGAACATGTACTAGTAGATTTTAGAAATTTTTAAGAAAATGTGTAAATTGTTTCTGAATATGTAGTTATAAAAGTTGTTAGTTGCCACCGATGTGGTTACACAATGTCAACACGACATTGTTATTCTCGCGCAAACTTTATTGAAATCGCTTCGGTTTCTAAATTATGCATTTTATCATTCGTAGGCTTTTGTATATTTGCACAATTTTTCAAATTAAAATATTTTGTATCAAATTTGATAAATTAACTGCAGGCGTGTGTGAAAATGCTAATCAGAACAACCAACCACAATGACAGCGAAAATGCGAAAGACAGAAAATAAAACCGAAATTAAAATCAAAACGCAATATATTGATGCACACATACGTATACGCCACAGGGCTGCAACGGAATTTAAATAACTTTGTTTTGATGAAAAACGTTCGAAAATGATATAACCTCTCAATAAAATTACAATCAACTTATTATATTTTTAATCTGAATACAAAAAAACACAGTAAATATTTTTATTTTGAATCAAATTTGCATTTTATTTTCTTTTCTTGTGTGAACCCATCAACCCTGATTTGCTTTTGGGAATGATGTCAGATGTGAATAAAATAAAAAAAAAATTTGCAGAATTCCCTTTCCCGCTTCGGTGGCGTCGAAATAATTTTTACCAATTTAAATAAAAACTAATTTACGTGCAGCTATATCGATATTAAATATAAAATTCATTTTACAAAGCTTTACTTAAAATAAATTCGTCTCACTTTTATATATGTTCGTAGCTATATCCACTCCTTTTAAGAACAGCCAATCAACTACCTAAACTGCAATAAGGTTCACAATTGGCACCCACATTTGCAAATCTACGTTGCTATTACACTTAAAGGATAAACGGCATTTGTTCCTTTTACATAATATTAAATGAATAGCCTTGTGTAAATTTTTCCACAAAATTTTCTTAGACACAATTGCGTTCAAATATAACTCATGTACAATCCCAACAACGAAAATTATACTGACGAATTGAGTAGAAATGAAGGAAAGGAGAAAAAGATTTGCAAATCAGGACAAAACAAATGGCCACTGACGTTCAAGTCACAGAATTGCATTTAAAGTTACGAACAAAATAATTCTTTAAACTCCTTTTCCTATCTAGTCTTAATGTAACTGTTTGAATAACAGATGTTAAAATGCTAGCCACTGCAAGTGTTTCTAAAATAAAATTACTTACCCTCGCACTACAAATTTTTGAAAATCTCACCAAGACCAAGATAGTCGATATGATATCACAAATTAAATTTCAAACCGATATCACCTCGGCAAAGGCCAAAAATAATTTTTAATAACCATACATGCCTTTCGGAACCTATATATAAGCCAGGAGCACCTGTCAATTGCTGCGATCCAGGAAACGATGTTGACTACCCGATCAGATCTGAGCTGGGCCGGATACAACTTAATCCGCAAGGATCGCGAGCGAGACCATGGTGGGGGCTTAGCGTTCATCCTGCACAACACCGTCTTATCGTCGGCGACATCGACCGCAGGGATACTACCCTAAAATGTCAGGGCATGGCTATCCGGTCAGGCGATGCCGAACTCGAGATATTTAATATATGCATTCCTCCAGTTACAAGTTGCCCAGTAAGATGCACGCCTAATATAGATGCGCTTCTCGGGGTGAAAACCGTTTGGTTTTGGGCGACTTTAACGCGCATCACGATCTTTGGCATTCTAGCTAGAGGAATGGAGCTGGCAGAACAGATAGACGATTCGACATTATGCACAATGAACGAAAATACCGCCACCAGAGTTAACTAAAACCGACCCAGTGCACGAACTGTCCTCGTAGCATTGGATTTGTCAAAAGCTTTTGACAAAGTTAATTACTCAGTGCTGCTAACGGACATGTGGAATCCTCCTTACCGCCGGGTTGCAGAGGTGGGTTAATCGGTAATATTCCGAGGTGAAACCTCAAAACTAAGAAAAATTAAACAGGGTGTTCCTCAGGGTGGTGTCCTATTGTTTAATTTCTATATCTCAAAACTCCCTCATCCACCAGAAGGAGTTTCCCTAACCTCGTATGCCGATAATTGTACGATAATGGCGTCTTGCCAGGATATTTTTGACCTCTCTTCGAAAGTAAGCTACTACCTTGCCGATCTTTCTCACTTCTTCACTGCACGACAATTGAAAATACAGCCGACTAAATCCTCGGCTACCCTCTTCACAGGCTTGAACTAGATGTGAAAGTCGATGACACAAAAATTCCGAGGGTAAATAACCCAAAGATATTGGGAGTAGCACTAGACAGCCTGCACTCCTTCACTCCGCATACGACCGCAATTGCCGCAAAACTCCAGAGCCGAAACGAAGTACTCAAAGCGCTAGCCGGCAGCACCTGGGGTAAAGACAAAGAAACCTTGCTGGCAACTTATAAAGCAATTGGACGGCCGGTCGTAAACTATGCTGAACCGATCTGGGCGCCGGGGACGAAGCTACAAGCTTGCCAGAACACCGCCCTCAGGACTGCAACTGGAAACCTCCTGGTGTGTGATGTTACCGAAGGCACATCAGAAAGGGAGTACTAGATTTAAAGGACATAATCCAACACCATGTGCAACAACCGCTGGACAGGACGGCGTAAAGACAAGCACTGAAAGCCATTCACTAGGAGCCAGTGAACACCTTCAAAGACTCCCTTCCAGCGAATGACGTGCTCAGAGAAAAACCACCATAGCAGACAATGAGCTGCCTCGAGAGACCCACGTGACCTTGGCACAACTCAGGTCTAGATATTCTAGCAGGATAAACTCCTACTTATCCAGACTCGACCCCAGCATATCTACCGTATGCCCTGCATGTGGAGATTCCCTGTTTTGCTCTCTTTAGAAGAGACTATGAAGGAAAGGGAATAGGCCTGATAGTGAATGACGACAACTCAAAATATCTCCTATCATCAAACCGACAGCCCGTGCACTCTCATCTTGGTACCCACGTCGTCTATGACTATCATAACTTTTAAATCGTTGATAATTTCGTTCATATGGGAACTTGCCTAAGCACCGATAACAATATTATCCTGAAAAACCTCCGAACAACACACACAGGACTGAGTAGCAAGTAATTGAAAAGTAAAGCTCTTTCACCACAAGCAGAAACCAAATTATGCTAGTCCCTCATCATTACCATTCTGGTATATAGTCCAATAGCGTGGACAATAGCAAAATCCATTTAGTTGGTGTGCTCTTGCAGCAAAGACCAATAAGTAGAAAAATATATTTATACTGCATTCGTATTTTTTTAGTTCGGAAAATTGTTGAAGGTTGATTAGAACGCCATCTAATAATATAATAAAAATAACTAGCTTTTATGAAAATATCAAACTGATGCTGTACTATACACAACGACCTATCTAACAACTGTACTATTTTCAATTTCTACCAATGTTGTCACCAACAAGTTCACTTTGTAATTCAATAAACGCTGTGTTCGTCATTTACTTATATACCTCATATGATTTTACTAAGATATGAATATTTCCTATAAACATTCGAAACGCGCGCTCTTGAATGTGCTGTGTTATACCGATGTCTCCGTTTCATCTGTCTTTCGTATTTAATATTCGCCGCAAGTTCTCTGGGACCTTAATGTACAAAAACATGACAATATTTGAATATGGCAACACAGAGTGTGATTTTGACAATTAAACAATAAAAATATTGTTTCTCCTTTGGAAAGTGAAATATATTTGTGGAAAATTATTTTGCTTGTTTCAATTAAAAAGAACAATTAAGTGTTTGAAATGGCTGAGGCGGAGTTGAATCCTTTCGCAGCGCTACTGAATGGACCCAAAGCAGAGGAGGGTTTCGAACAAGATCTGATTGAACGTATTCTTCTATTTACATTGCGTAAAGAAGCATCCCTTAACCCCAGCAGAAGTGATCCGTGTATTTCAATGACTGATATTGTTGTTGCAGCAGAAAATATATCAAAGATAAGCGAGGAGTTACTAGCACATGCCATATTTGAACGTTTAATGCTTACCAATCCGAAAGATTATTTGATTGGATCCGTCAATGGTTGCGAAGATGAAGCTGCTGTGGAAACTCGTGCAATCTGTTATTTGCATCGGGCTTTCATTGCGTGCGAAAATGCAAAGATCGAACTAACTGGCCAGAAGGAAGCTTGCGAAAAAATACGAAATCTAATACTGACAAATGCCAGTACATGTACCCGTCAACCCGAATTATTTGTAAACCAAAATTTGTCCATACAATGGTTGGAAGTGTTGGAACATTCTGATCCCGCAGATTTCACTACACTTGAATTCTTTGTACAGACTGTCATGAAAGTAATAGCAGACGATGAACAAATTGAAGCGTTAGGTGCTTTGAAAGCTGTATTTTATCCAATGCTTGCAGAGTTACAAAAACAATTGACAAGCGCCAATCTAATAACAATAAATAAAAATATATTTTGGACTCTGGGTTTCTTCGTACGCGATAAACGTGTACCTCAACTAGGTGAAGTTCTAATCGATTATGTTACGCCCAATCCGAATGCCAAAGGTATGCAAAGAAATAAAATGAGCTATATTATATTATTAGGTACATACTTACATTTAATTTTTTATTTATATATTAGGCAATGAGTATATGGATACATTGCTGGGTCAATTACTTTGTCTCTCTATTATGCCCAAAAAGTCAAATGGCCCTTTTGAGTTTTTTGCCGATATTAGCTTAGAAATACAGCAGACAGACCCATCTTTATGGCAACTCATGTCCATACACCAAGACGCATTGTTTACACTAATCAAACAGTTGTTAGTATTGAGCGCAACTTCCAAGAAGAAGACTTTACAATGGCTATCCAATTGCTTGCAAGCAAATACTTCCCGCGGTCACTTATGGAGCAGTATTAATTTACCATTTGAGCAGATGATGAATCAAAATGCTAGTGATTCTTTTATGATTGGTGTAACAGCTGTACTTTTACGGCTTTGCGCGCCTTTATGTGAGCCCGCCATGAAGGTAGACAAAATGTAAACAAAATTGTTATAAGTTTTATCTTAAATATTTCTCGTATACCTTCAGGTTTTATTGGTCGACCCCACATATTGCGCTGTCGAAGAAGAGGATCGTCAAGAAAAGCAAGTCAGCATGCAAAAAGCTACTGAAGAAACCTGTCTCTTGCCAACTGAAGAAGGCGAGAAACGTATTATTGCTGAAAAGTATAATTTTGTCACCGAAATATTCTACTTGACACACAAAGCATTTGAACTCGGTTATCGCGCTTGTATTGAACGCTATTCACGTATGGCTCGTGAATTGCATAGGCTACAAACTGCTTACCATGATGTGGCCCAAACAGATCCAAATAACGATTTAGCTAAAAATCTATTGCGTGTATTGAAAGAACAAATGCAGCAGTTCCTTTGTATGAGGAACGGGTTAATGGAACCCACCAACGATAGCCATATAATTAAATTTCTTGAAGCTTCCGCTATATGGCTAACTGAAATTGCCACAGTGAACGAAGCTGAACTTCAAGAAGCTTCCGATAAAAAGGACTTTGCGCCACATACGCGTAAGGAACGTCGAATTCCCGATAAATGTGTATTTATACCTCCATATTTAAGAAGTGTGCCCGAAAATATCATTGATAATATAGTATCTTATCTGAGTTTTAGTCGACACTTTCCACCCGGTCAATTTATTGAAATCTACCAATCATCTCATGATGCACTTTTTAAAATGATAATCTTATTTATGGGCAGTGCAGAGCTGGTGAATAACCCACATTTGCGTGCCAAATTAGCGGAAGCTTTGGAATTTCTGCTTCCTAAACAAATATCTGGAAGTATGAGAAATGTATTTATTACGCGTGTTTTCGACAATAACGTGGATCGTTTAAAAGTGGTACGTAGTTTGTTAAACGTTTTCGTTAGTATCGAAATGACAGGTCAATCGGTACAATTTGAACAAAAATTCAATTATCGTCGCCCTATGTACGCTATAATGGAATATTTGTGGACCAAAGAGGAGCAAGTTCAATGCTTTAAAAACTTGGCACTTGAAGCAGAACAAAATATGGAAGCTATTGAACCGCCGTTATTTCTACGATTTATTAATTTACTCATTAATGATGCTATATTCCTATTGGGTGAGACAATGCACGATAATATTCATTTAAATATTTTTGTTTCATATTTTTGTTTCATAGTTCAGTTAGAAAGAATCAGAGTAATAATATTAATATCATTGAAATGCTAAAAAAATTTCGAAAAATTAAATGCATCAGTTGTGCGTGAGTATTGATATTAATATTATTACTCTGATTCTGGCTAACTGAATGCATCACTTGAATTTAGTTTTTATTATTTGTCTCTTTTTTTCTATTAACGTAATTAATATATTTTTTTTTAAATATGAAAAAAAACTCCTTTGCAGACGAATCTCTTTCCAATTTGGAGCAAATTCGACAGTTACAAGAGGCACAGGCACGTGGCGAATGGAACTCACTCTCACAAAATGATCGCCAGCAACAGTTATCCAATCTGCATCACTTGGGAAACATGGCACGCATCGATAACATACTCGGCCGTGATACTATCAATATTCTAAAGTTGCTCACAACTGAAATAAAAAGTATTTTTTGTCACAACAGTATGGTGGATCGCATTGCTGCCATGTTAAACTATTTCCTCTTAAATTTGGTCGGCCCACAAAAGGAGCGTTTCAAGGTAAAGGACAAGAAGGAATTTGAATTTGATCCAGCGCAAACCGTTTTAGAAATTTGTCATATCTATATAAATTTGAGTAGTAGCGATCAATTTTGTTTAGCTGTTTCGCAAGACGGTCGCTCATATAGTTCACAACTATTCAAATATGCTGAAAATATACTCGTGCGCATTGGTGGCGGACAACTTATTGGAGAAATCGCTGATTTTGCTACCAAAGTGGAACGTATGGAAGTACAATATCGCGAAGAGCAAGAATTCATGGCCGATGCACCCGATGAGTATCTGGATCCGATCATGTCCACGTTAATGACTGACCCAGTAACGCTGCCTAGCTCTAAGGTGACCGTAGATCGTTCGACTATTGCGCGTCATTTGCTTAGCGATCAGACGGATCCCTTCAATCGTGCACCTCTTACTATGGACAAAGTGCAACCAAATAACGAACTTAAACTGAAAATCGAAGTATGGATGGAGGAAAAGCGAGCAAATGCACGCGCGACAAAAGATTGAAAGCTCTAATAGTATATAATGAAGCCAAAGATGTATATATGAAGTTGTAAATGGTGCGAGTTAAAAACTATTCATAGATTTAATTTTGTTTTTTTTTTTTTTTAAAAAAAGATCAATTACAACTACCATGTAGGCGGCGGTACAACAGTAAATGTTTATATGAAAAACATATATTGAAGCTTTAAATTATGCCAATGCAGCAGCTTCACATTCCACGGAAATGACGATAATCGAAAATTCAGATATTAATTAAAAGTATAATTTAAAAAAAAAGTTGATAAATACGGTGGGTATATATGGAAAAATTTGTTTACAATTCATAAATTATTATTAGCGATTAAGGATATAAATAAAAAAATTTATTTATCTGAAGAGACATAAATGATTGAATTAAAACAAAAACTTCCTTGCTTTCTTTATTGGCTTGATATTTGAAAAACATTTGTAATACATACATATGTATATGAATATTCTTAATGCAAAACAGCTTGCAAATTTTTTTTTTAACAAAATTTTCTCTACATAATTTATGTAATTAGAAAAAGTTATATTTTCCAACTGTTGTTATAGTAAATATTTTATATCTATTGTACGTAAATGTTTTTTTTTATTAATTAATATTAACTTGAGTTATTCAAATATATGTTTTTATTATAATCTTGATGTTTATAAAACACTGTCTAAATAAAATAATAACTTTTGTACATACATATATAAATTTGTAGCCAATGGAACTCGTGATGGCACCGAATAAATAAATGGCCTTTATACATACAGTGTATATGAACATAAACAAAAAGACGAAATCTATATGTATTTTATGGTAAAGGCATTTTTTTTTCAAATCGTTTAAAATAAATGCGAAAATATCTGCCAACTCAAAAAAAGATTGTTTTTAAATGTAAACTATTTCGTAGAAACATTTCTCTGCTGGTATATGTATGTCCTGCCAAATAGTTCATCTACAGTATTTTTCCAAACTCAAATTCTTATCTATTCTGTCATCGCTTTTCTTCTGTACAAAAGAATTAACTGGAGTGATGTTGTTGTCGTCGTCTAGGTCATCTAAGGGGTGGCCGATAAAACGGGCTGTTTTGGCGAGTTCGAACAAAAGGTTATCAGTTGAGTGGCTTTTGGTGGTCATCCAAAGAATTAATTAGATTCATGCATGCCCGACCTACATATGTCAAGTATGTCCGCTTATAGTCTAAATAAGTGTGAGTTTAAACTGTTACATTATACCGAACTCTTCGTCTGCTATGGATTGTATCTGGATTCCGATATCGCCATTCACAGGAAGACAGACTCACAGTGAATGGCGTTTAAGAGCAGTCGGTGGCTCGTCATGTACAAGGTGCAGCCGCCTATAGAGAGAGTTGATTTGGTTGCGGCTCTGTACTTTGGAGCCAATCGTAGTTGAAAGTGGAGCAAACGAGTGCAAGTTCTCGTCCGGCTAGTGAAGGGGATCGCTGGGGATTTGTGACAGGAAATGGTCGGAGTATGTTTACCCATTAACCAAGGTAATCAACATACTCATCAAAAGGCTATATCGATCAGTAATCTGCAGGCGACAATAAGGTAACACCCTTTTGCATTAGATAGAGTTTTGAAATGTAGAAAAGCGTAAATTAAACAGAACCATGAGTTATTTGGGTTTTTATGGCGTTGGTGGTATTTCGCCGGTAGTGGGTGAAAGAGGATGAAGCCACGCTTCAAGCGTTTCGACTTATTTTGTCGGAAAAGTTTCGTGTTTCTATGGGTTAATAGAAAGTATACTTTTCCGAGTTGCTTATATACGGTTGTTAATGAGTAAACTTGCAAAGGGGGAAAACGAAATTGGCATCTGAACTAAAAAAACACTCTTATTTATAGTGAGTGCGCCTAAAATCCCACCACCAACGCGCTAATCAGCTGATATTACCTAACGAGAAAAGAACGTTCATCAGCGATCAGTTTTAATAACAAACACATCAACATATGAATATTTATTCAATAGTAGTACTTATCAATATTCGCCAAGATGTTTATTGTAAAACTACTTAGTTCTAATAGAAATATTTCACTTCGCACACTTGGAACGGTAAATACTACATTTTCACACTTGTTGTATGAACATGTTAATAATTTTCATCAAACATAATGCCAGTGTGCTACTACTCCTACAGCGGTACGAATTGTTGAAGTTGGACCACGAGATGGACTCCAGAATGAACCAAAGTTATTGCCTGCATCTGTGAAAATTTCACTAATCGATCAGCTGTCCGACACCGGTCTTAGAACAATTGAAGCCACCTCATTTGTCAGTCCGAAATGGGTGCCGCAAATGGGCGACAATGCAGAGGTTTTGCGTAGCATACAAAAGAAGACAGGTATCAGCTATCCCGTACTTACGCCCAATTTAAAAGGCTTCGATAGCGCACTGGAAGCTGGTGCCACTGAGGTAGCAGTTTTTGGCGCTGCTTCAGATTCATTTTCAATGAAGAACATAAATTGCACAGCTGTTGAGAGTATAAATCGTTTTCGACCGGTTGTAGAGGCGGCCAAGAAGGCTGGTGTTAAAGTGCGTGGTTATGTATCCACCGTAGTTGGTTGCCCCTATGAGGGTGCAGTTAGGCCAACTGCTGTTGCAAACATAGCCGCTGAACTATATAGCATGGGTTGTTATGAAATATCATTAGGTGACACAATTGGTGTGGGCACACCGGGATCGATGCGTCGTATGTTAGACGAGGTAGTAAAAGTTGTGCCAGCAAAAAAACTTGCAGTGCATTGTCATGACACCTATGGTCAAGCTTTGGCCAACATACTTGTTTCATTAGATTATGGTAAATGAATTTAAAAAAGATTTATATTTTACAAATATGAAACTATACATTTATGCATACATATATACACTTTTAATGTATTTTTATTTTGTCCATGTCTTATTACAGGCATTGCAGTCGTAGACTCCTCAGTATCAGGCTTAGGTGGTTGTCCATACGCTAGCGGTGCCTCGGGCAATGTCGCAACGGAGGATGTGATATATATGTTGCACGGCATGGGCATTGAAACGGGTGTTGATTTGGAAAAACTCATAATGGTTGGACGTTATATATGCCATGAATTAGGCCGTCAATCGGAATCTAAAGTGAATCGTGCTTGGAAGGGCGCACAACCAACAAAACAATAGTGCTACATTTTATAAAAAAAAAAAGCATGAATACTGAAACTGCGATAATATTGCATTTATTAATCTAGCCTTACTAGTCTCTGCATTTATTTTAAATGTAAAAATAAACCTTGAAAAAAAAAAACAAAAAATGTGAAATCCAACAATCTTGACATTTCAATATGAAGTAAAGTAGAAGAAGAAGAATTCTAAGTTGAGCCAAACCTGCATAAACATATTAATGCATAAAAAAGGCAAATACCGTCCACTTAAAATTTTCTTGCGTCCTTCATTGTATACACTGATATATCTCCGGACATTAAAGACAAATTTGCCAAGCTGCCATTATTACGTTGTGTCGAACTGCCAAAGTTTGCTTTGTTAGCTGCTGCTTTACGGTGGGCTTCATTAGCGGACATTTTCAATTTCCCTTCATGTCGCACCACTGTTGGCAGCATTGCATTTTCGAGATATTTCTGTATCTTTTTGCCGCCCGGTATAGTCACTGGTGTGCGTTCATCAGTTATCTATAATATTATAAACCAAATGTTTAGTGAACTTTTTCTAAACGATTTTAACGCTTACGTGTTTGAATTCTGAAGAAATGTATGCTTTTTTAGGCAAACTCGACGTCTTTGTGGCCGCATTACCTGTTAAAGCGAATTTCGGTTGATAAACTCTAGTCTCTTGCTCAAGTTCCCGAAAGACGGTGGCATTATGTACATCAGGACGCTCTGAACGCTGCTTGAGATTGGACATTAATGGAGTGGTCGCTGTTTTTTTCATATATGCTCCAACCGGACTAACGATATGTGAAAATTGTTTAGAGCCAGTTACTTCCTTTAAGCGAGTTGGTATGGCGGATGTGGGCTTCTTAAACAAATTCAACTTAGGCATCGGCTTGAAGTTTATTAAAAATTGTTTTGACTTTTCTGCACTTGACAATGGTGTTCGTTTTGGTGATGATACACAATGTTTTGCTAAAAATAATAAATATTTAAAAGATAAGACAATATTAAAAACATTCCTAAGAAACTACAGACAAAATGCGTCTTGAAATTCATTAATTAATTCATTTATAAAAAATGTTTTTCATCACTAAAACTATAAAGCTTTAACAGGACAACTGAAATTTTTAAATGCCAATAAAAAAGTAATATATCCAAAGGTCAAGCAGAGAAAACGGCATTTTGTGTTTCTTTCTCTTCTTATTTTAAAATTATATCGAAACTTATTTCAAACATACCTTTAGTCCCGGTGACAATAGCAGTCGGTTTCACATTTAAACATTTTTTTGATGGCGATGAATAGTTACTATTTTGCTTTTTTGGTGAGTAAGTAAACGTTCTCTCCCTTTCTTTAAGTGGTTTCACCGTCATTGTAGGTGGCATTGGTGATTGTACATTCGAGTTAACTGTATTTGCCGTTTCTGTGGCTGCCATATATTGCATACCTTTTTTCATCATATATTCTACTTCTTCCATAGTGTCGTTGAAATGCAATGATTGTTCCCCACTTTCATCTAAATCTCCACCACAATTCTCTTTATTGTTTTCATAACAATTTTCCAAAACAATATGTTCTATGTCCTTTAATTTGGTTTTTGTTGTCAAAGAAAATTCTGTTTTGATATGTTGATTACTCATTGCTCTTTTTTCCTTACTATCGACGGCTAACTCATCTGATTCATCGTCAGAAAGTAACTCAATAATTCCTAAAGAATCATCAATAGACGAAGTTGGTGACCCATCCTCCTTATTGTTGTTATCTTTTTTAATGTCTTCTTCACTATTTACTGTTGCAGCAGTTGGTAATTGATATTCCGTTGGTCCTAGCGTTTTATCAAGTTGAATCAATTCCAAACTCTCATCTAAATTCTCAGCTTTGTTAAACATTAATTGCTTATCATTTTCTCTCGATACCTTACTAAAACCACTGGCATCAGAGGTTTCATGTGCCGTATCGTAATAACTTGTTGCTGAAGTTTCGCTGCCTTTTAGTGCACTTTTAAAGCTTGCGTGTGATGAAAGATCGACTTCGTTGCACATAGAATTATTTGATTCATCTTCACAGCATTCTTCAATAATAGTGGATGGACGCAATAGTCCGACCATCTTTACTGGAGATGTTTGCAAAGTAGACTCACCAATAATAGTTGTTTCCCACAACTTTGAAGGAGCTTCTATATCATCAAGTTGTGTGACGTCAACACCCTTCAGTGGCGTTTCATTTTCTAGCTGCTTCTGCTCTTGCACACACAAATCATGTAACAAACGCTGTAGAGATTTGGCTTCTTCATCAATTTCTATAAGTTCTGTAAATAGATTAAAACTATAATTAATTTATGTACTATATTAACTATTTTATTATTAGTGGTTTTCAAACTTCTTGTCTGTAAATTGTTACATACAGTATTTGTTAAACGCGATTTAAACAATAAGTAACTACTGAATGTTTATTTATTAACAGACTTTTAGCTATGATCTTTTATTTACCTTTTTTACTAGGAGTTTTCAAATAATCACCACTTCGTTTTTTTACATCTTCTACAATTAGTTCCTTGTCTTCACTATGGATATATTGGAACAAAGTACTGTCCGGATCTGACGCTGTTTTGTCACACATTTTTTCCAAAGCCATAAAACTCTCGTCAGATGAACGTTGCCATTCGACTGCCTTCTGTTTTTCTACACATACAATGCTTTCATCACAATACGCCATAGTGGAAAAATTTCTAAATTCAGGCTTCTTTAAATTATTTGAACATGCGGTTTCATTTGAATTCATTGGTACGTTTTCGTCATTCCCAGTTTTAAACATATTTTCCACAGAAGAGTTTGCTTTAATATTTTTCAATATTTTAGAATTTCCGTTTTCGCACGATGCCTTTGTTTCAAGAACGACTTGTAAATCCTCTTCCAAGTCCAAACTAAATCTGTCGCAGTGATCAGACGAATTAGAACTTGGTGTCAGCGTGCTGTTATAATATAAAATAATTAAATAAATTTTAGAAGCATTTGACAATGTTATTGTGATCATAAAATTGAAGGTGGAAGATACTACGATGTTTTAAAGATATTAAGTTGTAACTAAATAGTCAAAGATTTGGAAAAATTTCAAATCCTAATATTTATTAAACATAATTAGGTACATAAAATACTCTACAGAAATATATGAAATATGTAAATCATTCGAATCATTATATACAATCATTCAGTTTTAACATGCGAAGAATTACTGCAATTACCGCTGCATGTAAAGTAATTTCTTGACTTTAGCTCTCCAAGCATTATTTGCTTGAAATTTTTCCAATCCAGACATTTGTATTTATTGAAGTTGAAAAGACCAACATCCAAGATGAATAAATTCTCACACCTCAGTTTCTATGCTGAAATCTTAGTTCTCTCTGAAACTATCATATAACTACTTTTCACTGTAGAAAACGACAGCAAAGTTTGTAATTCGATTAAATATATAGCAAATATCTCTAAGTTTTAAAATGAATAATATAAATAACAAAGCACCACACTAATTTGAACGTTGAAGAAATTTTAAATAATGCGGCATAATGAAAATTGAACGAAAATCAGGAAGCGCTGCCAACAGATCCAAATACCATTCAGGGCTGAGTTTCATAACAGCTTATGCTATGTTTACAACCAGATTCAGATATGATGTTATCTCGCACAGTAAATTTGCTGAAATTGTAATTGGAAAAACTAAGACACAAGGGGCTCCATAAGGCATGAAGCCCGACCAAGAGGGAAGAAGAAAGCTACGTAATTTTCTTCAAATAAAATTAAAATTTATCATACTTTATTAGATTGTTTAATAGGCGATTTATCAACTGTGGGCCAATCGGGTGAAAATTGTAAATTTTGACATTCTTCGTGGTGAATACAAACGTCACAATTTTACCTAGCTCGTTTGAATACATGCTAAGAAGAGCATAACAACATACAAATGAATGCAATACAATAACAACCATATGTCATCCAATACAAAAGCAAATAACTTCATATTCGGGATGTTTTGTGAGAATTACATGAACAATTTTTATAAACGTTTTGCAAGATATTCATTAATTGAATTCATTGTTTCTGTTTTATTGGTGGAAACATTAGTAAAGAAAAGAATTTTCTTTGCATTATATTAATTTTTTACCAGTGCGCAAAAAATATATGTAACTTCCTCATGAGTTTTTAATTTTTTTTACGTCAAAATTTACGATTTCATTTGGCACAGCAAATTGTAAAATTTTTCACACCCTAGTGAAACCTTACCATCTCAATTCACCACATTATAAAAAGATACCGATTGACACACAGTCTTATATGATATATTACAAAATAGCCTTTTAAACAAAAAATTATAATTATTATCAATTGAAAAAAAATGTAGTAAAGCAAATCGTAGTGGAAGAAACGCACTTTTCATGGTGAAAAAAGGGAGAGGTAAAATGAATGGATACGCTAGGTCACACGATGAAATGGAGGGATTTCGGAATGCCTACAGTGGGGCGAGTTAGTTTATGGACAATCCCCTAGTTGAGACTGTAATTCAAAGAAAATTTTAACAGATGCAATTTATGATTTTTAAATTTCTGACATGTGCTTACGATATTCAGAAATCAGAAACTTGCTCACGGTTTTGATTTCTATGAGCACAAGCTGCGGCATGCAAAAGTGTCTTCCTTTTTTTCAATTTTGTTCAATACGTTGTGCCGTATCTAAGTGTAAGATTTCTATGTGCACATAACTAAACATAAGTAACAGATTTGAATGCTGTTGTTTTTTATAGCACGGTTACAAGCCTTTTTATAACTCTCAATTTATTTATTTTCTTTTTATGCGTTAAATTAAACGCAAATAATAAAAAAAATATTTTACTTTACGTTGCGTAACGTTCGGTCATACAACGTAAACTTCAACATTAAGCAACGTAAAACTCAACATATGGAAAAAGTTTAACACCGGTCATTAACTTTCTAAACAGCTATAATTGTAACAGAAATATTACCATTTAAATTAAATATAAATACCAGCAGAAAATATATGAAATATAAGTCTACATTTTTTGTACCTGATAGAAGCATAAAAAATCATTAAATAATTTATTGAAAGGAGAATATAGTGTTTGTATGTGCACAGAGTTCATTAAAATATTACATTCTCAAAGTCACGTCGTCCACTAAAGCTATTGCAGTTACAGTCATATTTCAAGCATTCATTAAAGAGCAAGGTGGGTTAAATAGACGGTGTACGAAAAATTATAATAAACTAATAATTTTTAACTAGCAGTGAAGCATTAACCATATTATCTCTATTTTCAAGGTTTGCATAAAAATGTCGTTTCCAAAAGGTATAAGGCGAGCGCTCGCCTCCTTAGCCTCTTATCAGCTAACACGTCGTACAAGCCGTCGTCATATGCAATACTTGATGATAGGCATTGGTTTCGCAACCACAGCTTCCGTGTCCTTCGTACAAATGGAAGCAGCCAAAAAACGAAAGCTAAATATCTCCCTTTATATGGCAGAACCGATAACAGACGCAAATACATTGCTTAATAATGAAGAAGATATGCGTACTAAAATGGAATTAATGATAATGAAAGTCCAAGCCGAATTTTGCCAAGCCTTGGAGGCAGAAGAGTATGCGGGACAGAAGTTCAAAGTCGATCGTTGGCTACGAACTGAGGGTGGTGGTGGAATAACTTGCGTTCTTCAAGATGGTGAAGTATTCGAAAAGGCGGGTGTGAATATATCCGTAGTTACCGGTATGCTACCGCCAGGCGCGGTACAGCAAATGCGTACAAGAGGTAAGAAGCTGGCAGAAGGCAAAAAATTACCATTTTTTGCTGCCGGCATAAGTGCTGTTATACATCCCAGAAATCCACACGTGCCGACAATACATTTCAACTATCGTTATTTCGAAGTTGAGAGCGACGGCGAAAAACAATGGTGGTTCGGCGGAGGTACCGATTTAACACCGTATTACTTAAATGAGGAAGATGCTATACATTTTCATAAAACACTAAAGGACGCATGTGATGAACATGATATCGGCTATTATCCACGATTCAAAAAATGGTGTGACGATTACTTTAGGATCACACATCGAAAGGAAAGTAGGGGTATTGGTGGAATATTTTTCGATGATATAGATACGCCAAGTCAAGAAGAAGCATTCAAATTTGTTACCAGCTGCGCCAAATCAGTGATACCTTCCTACTTACCACTTGTCCGCCAACACAAAAACGATGATTACGGTGATAACGAGCGCCAGTGGCAATTACTAAGACGTGGTCGTTACGTTGAGTTTAATTTAATATATGATCGAGGTACTAAATTTGGTCTATATACACCCGGTGCACGATATGAAAGTATATTAATGTCATTACCGTTGAACGCGCGTTGGGAATATATGCATACTGTACGCCCAAATTCGAAAGAGGGAAAACTATTGGAAGTATTGCAGAATCCTAAAGATTGGGTTTCTACGGCTTAGTAAAGAGTTTTCATTTGGTTTTGGACTTGATTTCATAAAGTCAGTGTCCTAACTATATTAGCATTATCAGGATCGTTTATGACCTTCAAACCCTTAAATATGAGGCAATTGCAATACAAAAACAGTCTTTGTTATATTGGATTGTGACTATTACTATTACTACACCATTGGTTATTGTAGTGTATTTGTTGATTTATGAACAATAAAATGTACTTGTACATTTATTATAGTATATACATATATGTTTGTTTAAAAGAAAATAAAGTGCACTTTTTGTAACATTTGGAAACAACTAAGTTTCTTTTATTACATACAAATACACACTCTCGCATGTGGCTTTGTGAAGAAAAAGTTTGTGTTTATTAAATTACAAAACCAAAAGTTTTCATATTCTATTCTTACTTTTCAAGAGTATCCAAAAGCATACGTTACCATAGCCAATAAACAAAAATTAAACAGTCTTTGGTACGTTTAAAAAGCATATTTTTTAATTTTGGTGATTTGAATATTGCACAAAATATTTTTTCTACGTAATCGAAACAATAATTAGGTCTAAGAACTTACGAGAAGAAGCGTCCATGAGGATAATTTTGCTTGCTAGAAAATTCAATTTCAATAAGTTATATAAGAAAATTTCTTTACGATTCAGTCTTAGAATGTTCATTTTAACACTAGTCCAGTCAATCACCTTTGTTAACATTTGACAGTAGTAAAAAAGTACTAATTTCCGTCTACGTCTGGTTTGTGAAGTCGTGTCGAAATAAGTTGAATTTTTTTCCAAAATCTCCATATATGTATATACTTATGTCTAACACTTACGAGCACTGTAAATACATTGTATGCTCAACAACAGGAGAAATTCCTTGTAACCCAATTCTATTTCAGAATCCAAAGAAAAGTTGATGTTAAAAAAATAGCTTCTAAGCAACTTATTTGCGAATTTATCAGGCCAAGAATAGTCATTCATCCAACGCACACTGTACCAGATGAGTGAAAGAATCACACACTTACCAACGCGCAAGCACCTTAAAGGCATTACTCACTATCTTATCATACGCAATTCGATAGCATATAGTGACCAACAAAATAATTGAAATATCATCGCCTTATTGCTATTCATAACTTCTAAGTTATCGTTAAACAATGTTCATTATCTGGAAGATTTGAAGTAATGACACTCATGAAAACAGTACGAGTAGATACAATTCAGTAAGATCAGTTTGATTTGTTGAAAATAATTGAAATTAAACATTTTGTTGATCACTATACTACACAATTTTGGCGTTCCTTTTCTTTTAGCCCACAACGATTTTATAACTCAATTTGATAGAAGGTAAAACAGCACAACCACTTACTGAGGTAACCATACCATTTTGACTGATTTGACTTACATTGGATTATACCTACATACACATGGGTCACTAATTGGACTAACCGCTTCCGATACGTAAACGACACGTTTTGGGAGTCAGTGGGCAAGGTGTGTTCGATCCCCTAGAATGGGAAAATCATTAGTATTTCTTGCATACTCAAACATTACCTTTGCCGTCAGTATATCTGATTTGATTTGGCTATAGAGTTTCAGATTTTATATCATATTTTTTTTTTTAAATATGTACATATGTAGCTTTAGAAATCGTGGTACTACTTATTTACCCGTTCTGTTTAATTGTATACTTTCCCTCTAATGTATAAATCATTAGTTTGAAAATTCTTAGTTTTGAATAAATTGTACTCAAACTGGAAAAAGAGAAAAGAGAATTAAAATTGACGAGTTACTTTCAATATACTATCACTGTATAAACATAAATAGTTTACAATGTGGGAGGTGGGCGCGTTATAATAGAAATAGTCGAGTGTTAAATCATTTATATTAATCAATACTTGAAGTATGAAACAATCATGTCCCATGTACCATCATGGGAATGACTACTACCTCTAAACAAATTACTCACTAACTCCAAATGCTGTGTGCACGAACACGGCCGGAAGCGTTTAAATTGTAAATTCACAATTAGAGCGCAGGTTCTCTTCAGTGACGTCCCAAAACAATTGGATATACGCGTTACCGCAAGTAAACACAATTCTCTCTCCATTTTTTTTTTTACTTACTCTTTGCATTTTGGTTGTACTTCCTTACATTAGGGTTGCGATTATTTTGTTTTATATGTTTGAATTACATATTAATATAAATTATTACATAGAGATAGCAAACAAATTTTAAATTCAAAGATAAATACATATATGGATAATAAAGTATAATTTTCAAACAAATTTCAAATAGTTTTCTAATTATTTAATTTTAAATGTCAGCTTAATGCTTTTACTTGTTAATCCGTTGGAGATAAACTTTTCATGTATAGAGTATACTATCTAGTTTTCATCGAAAATTAAAAAGTTTCTAAAATAAGTTCCACAAACATTTTAAAATCTCAAAAGTTGGTCTAACTAAAAGTTTTAATTGGTATACCACAATTAACCGTTGTTTTTAAGTCCTTGTATAAACAATTTGTTTGTTATTTTTAGTCAATACCAATCACAAAGTTTTATATATATATATATATACATATATATGTACGTATTGGAATTTTAAATATTGTTTGCTTTGATATTTTAACACTATTACGACTTTGGCGTTTGTACTACGCATTAATCAATCAAAAAGCTAATTTACTGTTCAAGTAAACTTTTTTTTTATAATTATCGTCATTATTCTAGAATTCGAAAAATTAATCGAATAATATGTGTTCAAACGCTAAATCGGAAGAGTTAGACTAAAATAAGTGAAGTAAAACGAAAAGTATACTATTCACTTTGTTGCATACATTTTAACCTCAACGCCACCAGGATTGCTGACCATCATTGGAGTTCTGCCCATTCTCACCAGCACCTCGCCCAGGTATGGGAGGAGGAGGCACGCTGAACATATCTTGAGGTGGCCGGAATTTTTCTTCATGCTCATCATCGCTCTCGCGTTTTACACCAGCTGTTTGATACGAATTCATGGGATAAGTTGGATAGCCATCATCTATAGGTTCTTCCTTGATCTTTATCTCAATATCACGGAAGTCTGGTTTACGTTCTTTAACATCACGATCTCCACGATCACGTTCCTTATCACGACGTTCGCGTTCACGTTTCTTGTCACGACGTTCTCTTGATGAATCTCGTTCCCTTGATTTAGAACGCCTCTTTTTCTTATCCCTATCACGCTCTCGCTCGCGTTCACGTTCGCGCTCCTTTTCACGTCTATCGCGTTTTTCTAAGTCATCATATTCCCGTTCGCGACTAGCTCCTCGTCGTCTTCTACGTTCACGCGACTTGCTTCGCGAACGTCTGGAGCGATCTCTTTCACGTTCTCGTATGCGCTCTCGGGAACGTGAACGCCGGCGAATAGCATCACCAGCACCGAAGCGACTACGTTCTACAACTCGTGCAGTTTCACGATCTTCACGCTCTCTTTCTAGTCGATAGCGTTCTCGTTCTCTCTCGTTATCTTCTCTACCAGAATGTTTGATGTTGACATCATTACCTCCTCTACGTGTTCCTCCTAAACCACCACCCAAACGTCTTGGAAGCCAGCCTTTCACAGTGCGTGCACGTTCCACATCAACTAAAACACGCTTACCATCGATTTTCTTACCGTCTGCATGTTTATAGGCAGCATGCATATCTCTTTCATGTTCATACTCGATGAATGCATAACCTTTAGGCTTACCCGATTCCTGGTCGGCTATCATAACTATTTTCTTAATAGGACCATAAATTTCGAACTCACGTCTTAATTTCGATTCAGATGTATCATAATTTATACGTGCAATGAAGAGAGTGCGGAAAGGATCCTCGGTTGAGTTTTTGATTTCTTGTGGATCCCACAATGCTATTTCACGCTCTAATTTGTATGCAACTTGTTCAGCTTTTTCTCGTCGTCGGCGATCCAAACGCTCCTGACGTGTTTCAACGCGCTTTGCCGGAGGTGTGTCCTTCGGATCCTCAAACCCACCAAGAAAACCACCAATACCAAGGTAACCACGAGACTTCTTCTCATGTGGTAATTTATCCACAGGAGGCATAAACGGTATTGGATCTCGTGCCGCAAATAGAGCTAGCAAATTCGGCGGAAGGTATTGTGTCATTTTGTCTATTACCTTATTTTCCGGTCCAACGAAGAGTCCAGCAATACAAACCTAAAATCGAAAATGAGGTTAAGCACATACATTTCAGATTTATAAATTTTGAACTACAAATTATTACCTTAGAATTCCATACAGCTAAAGAAGAAAAACAAATTATCTAAAGCACGAGTTTAGTCCTTTAAGTGATTCAATTTCTATTTGAGCACAACTTATAAATACTTTTCTCAAATTATCTTCGATGCAGTAGAATTTTTTAACAAATGGCGTACAAGCAAGCTTGACACTTTACTTTCAGTGTTGCATTCAAAATCAATTTGTGTTATCAATCATTTGAAGGTTTGTTCGCTTTTGCTTCCATAACACAGTGCTTATATTAGATAAAAATGAAAATGTTTTTCTAGGTAATCGGAATTACAAATAAAAACTCAACAAGATTATTCAATGTTTACTACTAAGCAAGTTTTGAAAATGTTACTAGGAATAAATTTAAAAAAAAATGAACAAACAAATAGTATTCATATTATATTTAAAATCAAGACGTAGTAGGACAAAGTGAATGAAATTGAAGGACATCTCCGAAACCTTCAGATGAATCGACGACCATAGCAAAGAACTGGCATTACGTTGAAAATTCAAGAAGTAATTTCATTGACTGAAACAAGATTAAGGACGGTAGCTGGTGAGGACACCCAAATTGTATAAGAAGTAACATATTAAGTCTCAATAGGGAATGTGGCGGTGATACACATGTTCGCAGTCATCCTAATGTATTAGATGAGGTCATGCTTGATCAAGAAATTAAAACCGCCATGCATAACAGAATTTTGGAGTACAAAAACATGACGCATACAGATTCCACCAAATTCATAAGATGTTTGTGCAAAGGTTGATGGAGATTGTGGGACGAAGCGTAACTACTGCGTAACTCTGAGACAACTACCAGCTTTAAAGGATTGCATTAAACAATTCCACAAGTATCTGTTCAGGCAACATTTCCAAGTTAGAATGAATCATGCAGCGCCAAAGTGACTATTATAGCTTACTATAGTCTAATGGTCTAATAGGGAATATCTGAGTGTATTTCTGACATGAAATTAAACCTCCTCATAAAAATCCATCGGCCGTTCGGAGGCGGCTCAGAATAAACTGTAGGCCCCACCATTAGATAGAAAACATGAAGACGATTACGCCAAATCGGAGGAAGAACTCGGCCAAAAATAGCTCCAGCGGTTAAAGAGTGCTAATTGTATATGTTGTATATCTAACCGTGTCATACAAATGAATTTATATAGCGTGATATAAGAGCAGACTAGGAAACAAGTGAGTCCTTGTGGCTATGGACTACTTTGGTCTACCTAATTCGAAACTAGGAATCTAAAACTTTTGCGGATGCATGGGATGCGAAAAAAATTGTGAAGGAAGCGTCTAACATCCTCGAGCACGAGCTAAAAGAGAGACACGCTCTTGTGGGACAATGAAAATTATGAGCGACAAGATGAGGCGATGAGCTCCGAAGGATGAAAATCAAGATGGAGAGTGAGGTTTGTCCCCGAAACTTCAATGCCATGGGGAAGGTTCATAATATCGAACGGCTAAGTGACATACTGTATCCAAACCAGACTTTTGCGAGACCAAGAATCAAAATGCAAGTGTTACACTTGGAAAGGCCTGATCGGGATGTTCGGACCTTGGGGGAAAGCAGTATGGCAAAAATGCAAAATGGGTGAGGTGAAAACCCGGTTAACTTAAGCACATTCTAGTGCCAGAGGCATACAACAGAGCTGTCAACACAACGTTTTTCAGCTATAAAGGAAACTCGGTGACAACATCGGTGCAAATTGAACATGGAGGATTTGGGAAATCATAGGAGCGTATTTGGCAACATCTTTACAATATTGAATTAACGGTTTTTCGATTTTAATATTCAACCCTGTGGGTGAGCGTTTAGCCACAATCCGAATCAAAGCAAATCTTCAAAAAATCGCTTATTTGCCTTTACGCCCCGATGAAAGCCAGCAATATATATGATTAAAAATACCTTTCATGAGCACCCAGAGCGTACACGAGCGCTAAACCCATCATCGTGTCAAAATTGTGATTGGCGATTTTATAGCCAGGTTGAGGAAAGAATGTATTTTCAGTATATGTGCCTTATAAATATCCACAAATGACGAGCCCGAATAGCCGATGACCTACCGGCTGAGCAGACATGAGGTGCATCACCATCTTCGCAGAATATGGTCGGACGAATGTATACGTCAGACGTTAGTGAACCTGAGTGTGTTCTACTTAATCCATAATTAAAGGGACAGTCTGAGCCATTAAAGTCCGTCATCCAAAAACTAATTGGACGTTATCAATTCTATCAGTTTGTCTTCAGATGGACCCACCATTAACCAAATATTTACAATGCGTGGTAATATCTTAAAAACGACCAGTAAGAAAACACAAAAAAGAACCGCTATGTCAGATTTTTATTTATCCGCAAAACGAATACGGCTGTGGTAACTGACGCAGAGTAACACTAAACGTGCCATTAGAATCTTGAAAGTGCTATATTTCCGAGTTGTTCGATCGAAGTAGGAATAATAAACATAAGCTGCGAACGAGGACTAGATGAAATATCTCCTATTATCAAAACAAAAAGTTTATACACTCTGTACTTACATCTGTACTCTACGTAACTGCCAACAGCCATAACTTTAAAGTCGTTGACAATTTCGTCTATCTAGGGACCAGTACTAACACTATATTGCGTTCTAATAGACAGACGGGCGAAGAAATGGGTGTACTTAGATTAGCTCAGCTCATCATTCTTATAACATCGGTATACCTTTTCATTTATCTACATCTTCTGCTTCCGTAACCGAATTCGGACCAAAATTAATATGCCATTTCATGTTCCAGGTAAAAAAAATTATTTTCCGTTCTATATATAAATTAATAGTATCTGAGTGGCTTAAGCAGTTGCGGAATGGTTTTAAAGATATATCAGGTGTACAACTTTGCTTCCGCCGTTTTTTTTTTCCAAAATTAAAAGCTTTATTGCGAAAAAGTGCTTACAGATATATTATTCAAAGTATTGCCCTTCGCTAGTGACAATTTTCTCCCATCTTTCCGGCAATTTTCGGATCCCAGCTCGAAAAAAGGTGTCCTCTTTTGATGCTATCCATGAAGCAATCCATTTTTCCAATTCTTCGAAGGATTGAAAATGTTGATCTGCCAGGCCGTGTGCCATCGAGCGGAATAGGTGAAAGTCAGAAGGGGAGACATCTGGGGAATACAGCGGGTGGGGTAAGACTTCCAATTTCAGCGTTTCCAGGTACTTTTTTACCACTTTTGCGACGTGAGGCCGAGCATTGTCGTGTTGGAGAATGACTTTGTCATGTCGCTCTTGCGTTCGGTAGCGATCTCCTGTGATGGTTTCATCAAGCAATGCTTCTAGTTGTTCATCTTTGAAGGCTTTTCTCTTCCACCACCATGTTTGTCTTTGACATCGAAATTACCATTTTTAAAGCGTTGAAACCACTTCCGACACGTTCTTTCACTCAGAGCAGCATCACCGGAAGTTTCTGAGAGCATTCGATGCGCTTCAGCTGCATTTTTTTCGAATTGTAACAGAAAAGTAAAACTTCCCGCAAATGGCGAAAATTAGGCAACGACGAATGGCGGGTTGTAAAGATTTGGATGAAATTTACAACCGCATCGTAACAGTTGATGAAACTTGGATTCGTTTGTATGATCCCGAGTTCAAACAGGTTAAAAAAGGGGAAATATTTTAAGTGGAAATGTCGGCGTCGAAGATTATCGCTACCATTTTTTAGGATAGCGAGGGAATATTATTAATTGATTACTTGCAACAAGGAACTACAGCTATTGATCATCCACCCTTGTCATTGACTAAACTAAGAATTATATTAATTTTTTTTACAACCACCTATGTGAACATTATTTAATTTGAGTAATTCTAAAACTTTGATATTTGTATTAATATGGCATCTTTTCAAACAGAACGTTGTTTATCTTAAAAAAAACTGTAAATTTTAACGAAGCGTTTAGCGAAGCGTTAGTTTTCTTTAAAACTGTATACTATTTCTTTCGACTTCATTTTGAAGCGGACGTTTGAATGAATCATACGAACAAGTAAGATCACTACTCAAATTAAATTCAATTTCATCTAACTAATACCATTTGTAACTAATTCTGGATATTAAAACGCTTTCTTTATTGTTACTACTTTGCAATAATAAATGTGTTAAAAATATACGTTGCAGCCGCAACAATCCTGCCTCCCAGTGACTTTCCTTTTTTCAAATTGAAAAAAGAAGTTATCTGGACGAAAATTTGCAAACGACAGTGAGATTGAAGCGGCCGTAGAAAAGAATTTTGTAAAGAAATCTAAAGAAAAAGGCATTGTATTCATGATGTGAAAAGTGTATATTGAAAAATAAAAAAACAAAAAACTATTTCTTTCATTAAATACATTCGTACTTTGGGTAAGTCAGAGTCTTGTCTGAATAAGTAGGAATTGAGACAACTGCAATATCCTGTCTTAATAACGCCAGTAGAGAGTTCGTGCAAGTTTGATGAGCTCTCGGGAAATGGCATGTCAAGCAGAGTAATTTACTTTAGCACAAAGTATGTATGTATATAAATATACAATATCAAGCATCTATAAGAGCGGTATTATATTTTAATTCTGAAAAATAGGTTTTATTTAAATAAGCATCATTTGTAACTGTTAAATAGAAGTAATATGCATTTGAGTCATTTTCAAAAATTTATCAGGGTACACGAAGCGCAGAAAGCTAATACTATTACATTTGCGCTGCCGATCTGTAAATATATATATGAGTGATTGACCATTCGGTATTTCAATAGATTTAAATTAAAACGAAGGTACAATAACTCAGATAACCTCAGTAAGTATTTTGAAAGTGCAACGCAAGCTTCTTTACTTCGAAAGTGAATTCAGCTGCAAAAAGATTGATATTCTCAAAATAGAAAAAAAAAAACAGAAAATAAGCATCGTCAAATAGTAAATGGTGCAGCATTTATGAGGAATTTTATTTAAAAAATGATGGCATACACGTACAGACATAAACTTCAAATCTACTTTATTGCACAAATATTGTGCACAGTGTGGCTCACTGCAACAGTTTGCGGTGAAAGTGATAAATACAGCGAAGATGAAGTTGTGAATGAGAATAACGTTCTTGCTTGGTATATTTTGGATGTTTCACAAATTTTACAAAACTCCAAAGTTAATACCATACTATCGCCCATGAATCTATTGAAAACGCCAGCAATAGTGGATTTGCGGTTTGGAGCCGACAACGAAATGGAAGGAATAAATATGATTTTAGCAGAATCCAGAAGAAGTTTGAGTAGACCGGAAAATGTGGAAATGTTTTACAACACAAAAATTCAAGAAATCTCATTTGCTGATACCGAAAATCATATTGCAATGATTAATGATTGGGGTAAACGCGTAACAAATGAGGAGTTTCCAAAACTTATTGAATCCAATTCAAGTCTAAAAAATTTACAAGTATTAATTTTAAATATGTTTCACTTTGTAGAGACTTTAGAAATTAATTTTAAATACACAGCAAATTTATTATTCTATATAACACCAAAACAAAGAACTAAAGTACCGGCAGTAGAGACTACAGAATATTTAAAGTATCTAGATTCGCAAATGTTGGACGCGAAAATTTTGCAACTGCCATACAGCAACGGCTTTTCAATGTACATACTTTTGCCACACACCAAAGCAGGCTTGAATGAGCTACTCAGTATTCTTGGCTTTGAACAGCTTAAGCGTTTGCAATGGATGATGGAAGTGCGACGTGCAAACGTATTGATGCCAACGTTTAAGTATAGTTTTATTACAAACCTTAAAGAAGATATTCTAGACAAATCCGATCATAGATTTGATAGTGATTTTGAGAATTCTTTTAGCAAAGAAAAAGATTTTCTTAATATTTTCAAAGTAGCTGCAATAAGTTTTAATGGAACTGGCAAACCGAGAGTAGAAGATTATCAAAATATACGATCGGCAAAATATGAAAAATTTCATGTAGATCGTCCGTTTGTTTATTATATAGAAAATAAATATGGTGAAATTGTATGTATTGGTAAAGTTGAAAATCCAGAGCAATGATGATGCATAGATGTTTCGCAATATTTTATATTAGGGGCCTTCATTTGAACATACAAATCGCTGATTAACCTGATATAATTATGAATTGATAAATAAATTTTGAGCTATTTTATGGCAAAAATGTTTGTAACGGATAAATATACGCAATTTATCGCTTTATCTCTTTCAATGAAGACCCACAATAAACTAGAAATTACAAAAATTATTGCAATATATATAGATATAGACATAAATATTTTAATCTAAAAATAAAAAAATTTAATTTTTCAAATCATTTTAACAGTTTTAGTTATTTTGTGTAAAATAAACTAACCTCACCATTCAGGACGAATATGGACTGGTGTTTATTCGATCAATCATTGCACATGGCTTATATATAGTGATGACACTAGTCAGCATAGTCGATATTATTTGTTTTTATCTCAAATTGAGGAATATTTTTTAACCCGTTCGTTAGGGTCTACGGATATCAAAACTAATGTTTGACCGATTCGTTCAGTTAAACGAGATTGCACCAGCTAAAAAGGTAGGTATTGGTTTAACAAAGAAAATAGAAAATTTAAACTCCGCGCTAGTAACGACGCGTTAAATACAGCAACAGTTTTTCTGCAAAGATTTTTTTTTCGAAGTTATAGCTAATTTAATTTTTCCAAATTTATTTATGGCTTAAGGGGCACACCTAGTGTAATGGCCTAAAAAAATGTGATTTTTGGGGATTTTTATTAAAAAATAATACTTTATCAATTATTTCAAAATTTTTAAAATATATTTAACAACAGTTTTTCTCAAAAAGCTTCTGTTTTTGAGTTGTAGCTAATTATTCTCATTTAATTTTTCCAAATTTATTTATGTGGCACACCTAGTGTAATGGCCTAAAAAAAATGTGATTTTTGGGAATTTTTATTAAAAAAATACTTTATCAATTATTTCAAAATTTTAATAATATATTTCTACATGTTTCAAGAATGTGTAGTGAAATTTTTGAAGAAAAAAATTAAATATTTTTTAGGTTATAGTCGATCTCCAACGGCGCGAAAAAAATTTCCTTCACTGCTGCAGTGATTCCGGCCTTCTCCGTGGATGAAATCTAAAAAAAAATATCTGTATGTATGTATTGTCTTTACAATGACCTACGATAAAAAAATCAAAAATAATTTTTAAAAAAATAGTCGAATTTTACCCAAAATTTTGGTCGCTTTTGGCCTGCTAAAATTCGATTTTTTGATCAGATCAAAAAACGATAGGTCATTGTGCGTAAAAAAAATCGATAGTGATCGGATCATTTGTTTTTGAGTAATCACTGCAGCAAATGCGGAATATGCTGTTTCGAGAAAAACGCGTTTAAAGATAAAATGATCGTTTTCACTCGGAGCTAATGAGACTCTCTAGCTGCCGAACGGCTGCTCTTTAAAATGCTATAACACAAAAACTATTTGAGTTATCGATTTGAAATTTTAATATGTTATTTTTAAAGGTGTATTCTACCGAAATATGAAATATATATTTTTTTTAAAAACACCGCTGGGCTATTCTTTGTGGGGTTATGTGAAGTCGCTTGCCTACACAGAAAACTCAAGAGGATTGATGCCTTGAAAGAGAATATTCGGCGTGGTATTGAAGACATTCGATCTCCACCTTGTGAGTTAGGCTGCAACTACCCATTTCACTCACCAGCCGTCCATAACTAACGACGTCAGTAGCGAAATACACACACGAGCTATCGACGCTGCTGAGAGCGGCGAAATGTTGCCAGCTGCCTGTGTGTTTGCACACTTTTGAACAAATTCATAATTTTCGTCAACGAATTTTATAATTTATTTGCTTGAACATAAACACAAGGCAAATATACATGATCTATATGGTAACAAATAATTAGTTACGCATTTATTTTTCATTTCTTTTGAACAAAACTACGCATTATTTTCGATTATTTAATGTTACTTTAAGAAAGGCTATACTGGCAACCTTGTATAGCAACGAAAAATGAGCCGAGCCGGTTTTACGGAAAAATCAAAACTTCGTTGGTTTCTGCGACACAAACGTCAGCAACGCTATGGTAAATCGGTGACAACTTTGTGTTTACATGGCGCTCTCATAAGATAGGTTACTATGGACGGCTGGTACGCTCGTTGGGTAGTTGCAGCCTTAGCCTGTGAGTACTGTAAACAAACATACCAACAGATGGCGCTCGTAATCAACGTAAGCGTAGACCATGTTCAAAAATAAGTACTAACGCCTTTTTCACAGTTGTTCTTGCAGTATTATTGAAAAAAAAGTTAGTAAACATTTTTAAGTGATTATATTTAAAGTGAATATTGTGTTTTCGGCAATATTTTTCTTTAAAATATTTAAATCCACTTTAATACATTAGATGAAGGGAATTTATTGAATTAAATTCGCATCTCACACTCTGGAGAAGTGAGCATACCAAGGAAAGAGATGAGTCTCTATTGCACTTACAGTGATAAGTAATATAACCATAGGGGACGGGTCAACATATATAGACTCTATCCAGAGACACGTTTTCGATGTGACACCTCACACTAGCAGAAGAGTTAGGGTGGAAATATTGGAATTTGCTTAATACATTTTTTCTTGAATTCTGACGGAGATTTACACAAAGTGCTGGACAGATTGTTCAGCGGGTGTTCTAAACTTGAGGAGCTAATGTGAGATGGTGGACGTTTAAGGTTTAACTTTGAGCCTGCCCATTAGGGAGAGGGAGTTGCATTGGTTCCGAAGGCGTGCAAGGCTATGGAATACACTTTGGATGTTTCTATAGACATATGTATGTATGGGACAATGGGTCTAGTAAATGAGAATGGCAAAACGACATATCTCCTGACGTATGTATATGCGTTAATTGAGACAAAAACTCAAAAAAGTTATTAATGAGAGCGCAATGTTGACGTTTGGTGTGGAAAGAAAGTTGCAAATTGGTGATGGGAAAATGTCAGCCAGTAAAAACTATCGAGAATGAAAACAGCTTATTTGTGATCATGATATCAATGCTTTCAGAAGATACATTTTGAGAATATCCAGTATAAAAATAAATATTTTTTTTTTATAAAAAATCTGTTTTTTCTTAAAATTTTCTCGAATTAACCAAAATTTAAGCCACGATAATGAAAATACTTTTAAAATAATGTATGGCTAGTAATATAAATTCTCTAAACATATTTGAAAAAATCTATTAAAACTAAAGCTTTAAATGGGAAAACAACCGTTACGATTACTTTGCAATTACTCGTTTTACTTCAAATTTTGCCTCAGCAAATATATAAATAAATTAACCGGGCTTAAGTGTTTGAAAAGTGAAATATGGAAAATTATAATTTGATTAATTAAATATGCAAAATGTTCAACTATGGCTAATTGTATGTAGATGCCGTAAAAGAATTGCAGAGAAGAATACTTCATGTAATATGATAGTTTCTTTACGAACCGGCAATGCAATAAATGCTTTCTAGTACCAGTGGAAAACAAGGATAAACTACATTACTGGTTATAATAAAAGAATGGTTTTTGCCGGGTACAACAATAGTATCCGATTTTTGATAGGTAATAACGTTTATTAAGCAAATGTTTTTTTATTTGACTAACTTTAACAATATTTTTCCAGGCGTATGATTGCCTCAATTGAGAGTGATACAATCATTTTAAAGTTAACCATTCAATTAACTTTAAGGATCCGGAAACTCAGCAGCATAAAAATACCATTGAAGGATTGTGGAGACATGCCAAATTTTCAATGCCACAGAGAGAGCAGAAAATGTTCAACGGATACCTTGCAAATTCGCTTGGTAAATTGTAGAGTCCATTGATTTGGCCAAATTTCGAAGAAATTACGGACTAATATGAATATAAAATTGAAATAAATTAGAACGAAAAAAAAATGAAAATAACGTTGTTTCAATAAGACCATAAACTAACATTTTTGCAGCCTTCGATTTTAAACATAAACGACCCTGAGCCGAACCAACACCGGCTTCACCTTGCACAATATTCTTAAGCGAAATACTTTTGCGAATTTGGCGGCATGTAGCCGCGCTTAAAAAAATGACCCTGAGCCGAACCAACACCGACTTTGCCTTGCAAAGTATTCTAGTGTGATTGAAACAACCAGAGAATATATAATATTGAGAAGGTTTAAATTCATGACAGCACTTATAAATTCTTTGACAACTTTTGAAAAATCTCTAGAAAGGAATTCAACAGCAGTTAAATAACAGCCACCACAAAAAATAATTTTATTAACAGAGGCAGACAAGTGCAGATAAATCGCTTGCAACTAAATTCTCTATGTTAATGTTTTTCTTTGCTTTGGACATTTAACCAATTTGGAATTAACTACAAGATAGCTTTAAGTTAGTCCTTTTCAATTTTTTTATATGTTACAAAATAATATGATAATAATATTATTAACAATTATTGCAAAGAAACATACATATTGTTACGATTTTGCTAAATCAATCTCGATGATTTTCTGAATCCTTCGGGTACGATCTCTGGATTGTTAAATTAAAACCGCCAACTTCTTTATTTACTCAGTAATTCACAATGCAATAACAAGGCACTTTACTAGCTACAACTTTATACTGATGTTATCGCGAACGAGTTCACTTCGTAACTGACTGACTTGGCAGCTGAGTGTCGCCCTTATATAGCAGTCGCTGCTCATAGACGAAAGTGTAGAATACTGCTTTATTTTTTTCATGCTTGCACGTAAATTAGATTTTAATATATTCAAATAAATCTCCTTGGCTATGTTGCTTTCAATAAATTGAATAGTGCCCACTCCACTAGCTCCCATAGACCCCCAAAGCATAACTGAACCACCACCACGTTTCACTGTCCCAACTAAATTTTTTATTTCGTAGCTCCGTCTGTGGCTATCTCCATACAATTTGGCGTCCATCAGATCCCCAAATGTTAATCTATGTTTCGTCAGTGAACATTACACTTTCCCAGAAACTTAAATGCTTAGCAACATGAGCTTTCGCGAACTCAACCTTTTTTTATTTACACTGGAGATTAATATCTTCTTACGTGCTATCCGTCCATGTAAATTATTTTTGCGAAGAATACTACGAACTGTTTCAGTTGATATATTTTTATTTATTGTTTTGCTTTACAAATTTACAGAATGCAGGGTTGCATTGTAATGATACGGTTGCGCAACGGCATCATTACAAAATATTTGAACGTGTTAGAATTATCCCAAACAGGGTATACGTTTCTTCGTTATGGGAATCACATATTGGTTTTATTTATAAAAAACAGACAGCGGTTACCTTGGTTGGAATATAACAGTTCGTTTCCAATTACGTTTGCAACAGTGTTTGAGCGCGAACACAAAAACAAAATCGGCTAAAACGGTAAATTCCTGAATTCGTTTTCATATTTTCGTTACGAGGACGAGCGGATTTTTTCTGGAAACAGAAAGTGCAATTTTTTATAATTTTTTGAACAAGTTTCAGTTAAGTTGATACGATTTTTAAAATAATTTCTTCTCTTAGTATTGAATAAGAAATTGTAAATATATATACAATATTTGTTTTTAAATATTGGTGACCATTTCAATTTGATATTTGAAAGTTCTGTACTAATCCTTGAGGTTAAGGTAAGTTCTTACTTATGTAAGTATGTAGACATGAAACTGGGAACTCAAAATACATGATGTATCTAAAATTATATCGGTATTTCCCATTATAGCCATGACTGAGCCCACGTACATAGATACTGGAGAAATAATGGATAACCAAGAAAAGCAGAGTGTAGAAAATATAAAAAGCATACCTGATATCGTCATAGGATCTTCCACTGTTGAAGTTTTTAAAGAATCTTTAGTAGTTACAGAGAGTTCTGAAAATTCCAGCCGTACACCAGTAAAAAAGGATTTTGATGTTCCACCGCCACCACCCCCACCACCAACGCCGGTTCAGGAAAGATATTCTAATAGATGTGTCGATGTTGTGAAATCAAATACCGTAATGCAATTTAATATTATGCAAGAATCAAATATTGCGTATGATGAAGGAGTGAAATTTGTAGACAAAAAGGCAATAGGAGAAAAGGCTCCAGTTGATATCAGTAATAATAACACATTGCCATTAGAAAATATGGGAAGTGTCAGAATTGAAATGTTAGGGAATGATGAAACGGTAACTTCAGAGGTAAGAATTTACCACAAATATAATTGTAATAAGTAACCACTTATCAGACCAACAACCAAAATAATAGTTATGTGTATTTGTGGTCGCTAAATTTAAAGTTCATTTGAGCCTACTTAATGGCTTAGGTGGGTTCATCTGCGGTCAGGTAAACAAAACCAAGGTTTTTAAAAGCTAATATGATAAACATAAAAAATTTAAAAATTTGATATTTTTATAAATATATATTTATATAAATTTATCATTAACAGTTTTCTGATTAAATATTCAATAATTATTAAAAAAATTCTTTGAAGTTTTGTGACCAACCATTAAATATTGCTTGAAATTAATGATAGCTCATTTATTTTGATAGTCTCCATTCTTTATTGTCCAAATGAGTATCTGAACGCACCGAGATCTCGAGTTCAAAGCATTGAAGAAGACTTCTTATTTCATGAATGTATTCCCGCTTTTCGTTTATATTTCTTCTAAAAACTAAAATGAAACAATTTTTATATAATGTAGGAATTTATTAATTTATTTCACAATAGAAGTACAGAGATTATATTGTTGCAGAAACGTATATGTATGTTTTCAATTCGTTGCTACTGTTACTGAAACGACTTAAATTGACTTCAGATCTTATAAAACAAATGAGTCTCCGGAGATACCGGTTATTATAAAAATGTGAATGTAATATGTTGTGGTTAACTGATTGCGAAACCTTGATCAATCGCACTTAAGTCTTCTGAATCACTGTGATGACAATGTTGTAGGGTATGTAAAAAAGTCCCTCCCATTTCCCCAAGTGAAGCCAACTCTGCAGGCAGTTGAAAAGAAAGCGCTCTTCCAACGCCTCATCAAAATCTCCACAGCTTTGATAGAGAAGTAGCTTAGGAAAAGCGAAATAAATAAAAGAATTCTTGATCTCTATAGAACTCTTTTATTACTATTTTTCTTCATTAGACTTTATATCTTAAAACTCTTCAATGAAAAATAAATGATTTTCTGTAAGCAAAATCAAACTTTTTTGATCATTATCACATGACTTTCTTTAGCAGTGTCACGAATAAATTTTAGAACTTAATTTTTGGCAATTTTAAATTTATATAAAGAATCCTTTTTCAAGATAGAAATATTGACTATAAGTGTAATTCTATACAGTGTAACAAAAGAATAGTATATAATTTACGTAATATGTATTTGTATAAATCACTTTTTCGCCATCAGATGCATCCTCTAGAAAAAGCTAAAGATGATGCTATGCATCATACAAACATATTGAAGGTTTTAGCGGAGGCAGCACCTTCACATAATGACGACGAAGCGCTCAAAATTCCAATGATTCAAGATGATTCGATGTCATTTTCAACGGAAACCCCTCCACCGACACTTGCCATAGTTGAGTATCATTCAGCATTTGAGACATGCGCCAAAAATCTAACAATTGCAAATGAACGTTCCCTAAAAATTCAACGCTTATCGGAAAAAAATATTGATATTCATTCATCCGTATATCCCAAAGCAATACCCCTGCCACCACCAACTCAATCAAATCAGATTTCTTTACCCATTGATACTTTCTGTGGAAATAAATTAAAAGCTCAGGTAAATACTGATACTCAAATCAACCAACACCAGCATGAGGACGAGGCACTTTCATTGAATATGCAACCACCGCGCTCATCTACACCTTGCACAAGACAGACTTTGTCTTGTTCTATAGCTAGTTGTGATTTGGAACTGATCAGCGAACAGGTTAGTCCGCTGAGTGAATCTGATGAGGGAAAGGCACCAATCATAGTTTCAAAACAGCAAATTCAACGTAATGCGCTTTCGAAATCAAAATCAGCGCCTGTTATTACCGAACGAGCTGATGATACAAATATTTGTAAATCAAAGTCAATGGAAAGATCAAATTGTTTCCTTCATTATAGTCGCGCGAATTTACTACATATACGCAACGATCTACTAAATCTTTTTCATTCGCAACAAAAACAGCAACTTTCTATAAAACTTAATACATCAAATATTGTCGATTGCGATGTCATTGAACTAGAAGCGCGCCTACGACGGCTTAATATATGGAAATCCATAAACCAAGATGAAAATAATAATATTCGGAAAAATCAATGGGCACGGTGTAATGATATGATGCCTGCATTTTCGAGAAATAAAAATGTATTGGATGAGTCGATCATTAAAAGCCAACCGCCGCAGCCAGAGCTTAAGGTAAGAAGTAATAAACTAGCTCCTGACCAGCTTCAAATAGTCGATATCTAATATTTGGTTTAACTAAACTTTTATACTATTTGTGCTATATTATACTATTTTATTTACATAAATATATGTACGATCTCTCGATTGCTAGGATCCTGCTATTATAACAAACCAACGTCGTATTGGAAGCGGAAGGTTACCAAAAGTTAAATGGGCTAATACGATTGCAACAGATAATTCGTCATCGTATGAAAAAGATCACAATAAACATACTCACAATGATATGTCAAGCAAGTTAAGACTACTTAAACTTTTTGAAGCAAGTAAAGTTGATAATATGCGCAAAGATAAGAATTTATATAGACTAACGGTAAATCCATTTACCACTGCCACTAAAAATTCTGATCGCATTGAGACATTATCACCATCAACCACTCGCGCCAACGTCAATTACGTGAAGCGACTAAACTCTGGCTTTTTAGTTGTTTCAAATCCCAAGGATCGAGTGAAAGAGGATACCGAGCATCATCGTTATAAAAATGAAGAACCGGAATGGTTCAGTTGTGGTCCAACTTCGCGTTTAGATACGATTGAGCTTTGTGGTTTTGATGACGATAAGGATGTTGATCATTTTGAAAATAAAATAAATCAAAATGTTGATAATGAGATATTGAATGAGAGTGATGATTCTAAAGAAAATCGAAATGAAAACGTAAATATGGTAAGTTATGTTCAGCTTATACTAAATACATATAGTACATTGGAAGACAGACTCAGTTTAATTGAAAAACTAAAACTTTAGTTAAAGAAAAAATATTATATATTCATTTTTATCTTATTTTGATTTTCAATAAACTGCTAATTTGTACTAAAGTATACCAGATTGACAGCGTCCATGGCAGCCGAGTGGTTAGTATCGCGTACTGCCATTCGGAAGGCCTGTTCGATCAATATCCAAAAGTTATAGAAAATTAATTTAAGTAAAATAAAATTAAGTTAAATTCTCTAATTGCGGTCGCCCTCCTCGTAAATATCCATCAGGCGTTCGGAGGCGACTTAGTATGAACTTGTTGTAAGTCGCTCCATCTGTTGAAAAAACTTCAAGATGCATAGCATGAATTCTCTTCCTCGAATTTGTGGTATGGGCTGTTGAAAATTTATATTTGTATAGATATTAAATCAATAAAAGTATTATATTTTAAGTTTATTTTACGCGCCAATTTCTATACGAAAGTTTTCATAACCTCTCAGTCATTTTAAAATAATGCGCTTTTTTTTAATTTTTTTTTTTTCAACAGGTTTCTAAAATTACTAAGCTGGGAAATTCTCAACAATATGACACGAAGACCGGTGGATCCACAAGTAGCGACAATTCCTCAAATATGCACGATAGTAGTGCGGACTCAGTAGAAGAACGTAAATCTAAAACTTTTCAGTATGATACCTTCTCAACAGGCAATGCCAACAAATCAACTTATCAACAACACCGTCAACATGGTGGCGGGAACATGGAGAGTAATGGGCATCACAGTTCTAGTGGTCGTTCAAGATTTCTACCATTTTTTGTGCCAGGCGGCAAAAAAAACACACACGAACCCGCTGAAAAGACTAGTTCATCTACGTCATTGAATGAGTTTTTCAAGCAGGCCTTGAATGTACAGCAATCTACTGAACATCAACAACAGAAACAACAGCAAAAAACAAACATGGGCGATATACCACTTGTAGATGAGTTGGAAGCTAAATGGCGGCGCAATTCTTTGACTGAGCGTACACAAAATAATATTGATATCAACATGGAAAATAAAAATATTAAATACAAGCATTTAAGTGGAAAACAACGCCAGGATAATGTACAACAAGATCCATATAATAACGTTCTGTTTAAAAATTCTGAAAATTTCAAACAATTGTTGGGACAATTGCAAAATTATACATATATCGATAATAACAATAATAATAAAAATGTTCAAAACAAGCAATCTACAATAAACACCATAAAGATAAATGGCAAAGGGGATGGACAACATTCAACAGCTTTAAATTCCCAACAACAAATGCCTGGTCAATTTTGTAACGAAAATATTTCTAATTTTATATTTAAGCAACAGCAATATCAACAGCAGCAGCTATTGTTGGCAAATTTACATATGAAAACGATTTTAAGTCGTCCCGAAGCGCAATATCTCTTACTGGGACTGGCTAAAGGTAAGTTAAAATACTTAAGTTAATAATTGTCTAAAATCAAAATAGATGTTGTACGCGTGGGATTTAGAGGGATAGTATTGTTTTTTTTTAGTAAAAATTTATGAAAATCAAAAAAAAAAAAAAAAAAAACATTCAAAAAATATGTTTTGTATTGTACTAATCATACAATTTTGATTGGCTTAACATTTTTATACCTTTCATGAACATAAATGGTCCGAAGTCTTTTACATACCCAGTAAAATAAGAGGGATGGCTGATAATGTTCCGACCTAAGGTTGTTAGAGAAGTCACATCATCTCGTTACTCGAAATACTAATTGCGGACACACCGCGTATTATTGAATTCCTTGTAAAAAAAGGAAGTACAACGAAAGAAATTTTTAAAGATATGTCAACTGTTCTTCAGGACTGTCCGTTCATATATTAGGTATAGGATGGTGAAAAAATGGGCACGGCTATTTCAACATGGAAGAGCAGAGACCTGTAAAAATGACACCCATCAAATACCGGTACTGAAAATCATCGTAATCAGAAGACTATGACATAAGCACCTATACAATCGAATTGTTTAGATATTAGATTGAATATTTAGTACTGAAATGCAGTACAGCAAACTTGGTGTTTTCTTCTTTTTCTATGAGAGTGGCCTACGCCTTGCTCCAGCAAGAAGTATGTAGGAAAGTCTGGAAGTATGCTACAGTACGTCACACAACTTCTTTGCATGACAGAGAAATATATAAAAAAAATTTATGAGATCTGAGTATTTTCTCTTCTTTTAGCTTCTAATAATGGTTAAAAAATGTATAAAAAAGTTTATGCGATCAATGAGTATTTTCTTCTTTTTTTTTTAATTTTAGGCGAGATTTCCAAGCATGGTCTACTCGTTCAGCTATCGAATCCGCGATTGCCGCAGCGGGATCGTGAGGCGATAACTGCGGTACTTACATTCACATCGACGCAGCATACGCATGGACTACAAAGTCAATTCGCTCAAGCGCAAAATCAACAGCAATTTTCGTTCACAAATCCACAGACTCATACAATTGATTCTTTCTCAAATAATTTGGTAATGAATCATTTGCAAAATCTACACAACTTAGCATTGGTTCAGCAAACATTGGCAGCGCAACAACAACAACAACAGCAACAACAGTGTAACAATCAACGCTCTCCATTTTTATTACAACCAATGACAACCGAGGATTTTCCAAATCATACCAAAATAATAATGCAAAATGCCTTAGCAAAACGAAAATTTGAAGAGCAACAAACAAATATATTAGGTATGCGAAAATTATTGCAATTGAATGCAGTGGCTACGGCTGCTGCTGCTGCGGCCGCTGCAGCTACAGGAAACAAGCAGCAGCATCATCAGCAGCAGCACCACCACTCGCAGCTAACAGCGCACAGTCGCTTGCCAGCAGGTGCATTAACAACTAATCGTGCAACTAATGGCAACGGCAATCGGAGGCTACAAGCTTTGCAGAATCTTTTTAATGATTCAAATGGCAAAGTGGACTCGATAGATGGTGTTCCATCTAAAAGTGGCTTCACTAATAGTTTTCATTCAATGAAATCGCAATCAAATCATAGTAGCGCGGGTATGTACAGGAATTCGATCCATGGTAACAATAATAGCAATATGTCAATTAATCGACGACGTTCATTCCCGTGTAAATTTACAAATGTTGGACACTTTGTTGTTCCACCAACAAATGAAACATCAAACTCTTCGGAAACAGATTCTCAGCGAGAGCAGCAACCAACATCATCAGCGCAATCGCATGATGATCACACAGAAACGCACTGTCATAGCAATCCTTACCATGATAAAAATGATGCAAATAACAATTGTACACAGGTTGACATGGAAAGTGCGTATGATGCACATCAGACACAACTTCAGCAGCCAGCTGTGGTGTCTACCGGTTGCGGTAAGTGTTGGTTTTATAATCTACGTACAATAGAAAATATAATTTCTTAGGCCCTGGTTATGTGGACAATTTGTTTGGCACACTATTTGCAATTTGATGAGTCCAAACATTTTATTTAGTTACATATGAATTACAAGAAACGTAAGATTATAGCAGTTAGTATTTTCAAATGAATTGATGATTTCCTGTTTAAAATGTAGCATCTGCTGCGGCATGTATTACAATTCATAAGATATCTAATGACTTCTTTGGTGTTCTAAAAGTCATTATATTTCTTTCAAATTGGAATGTCCGTTTGAAACAGCTGTCAATACACATTTAAAAACTGAACAAATCCAATAGAAGTAGTTCTTATACTTTGTTCAGAGCGTTATCGAACTTTTTTTTAGGACTATTTAAATTTATTTTTAATGCATATACTTTGGAATGACAAGATATGCCATTCGTTTCGATAGAATTAACGAGAAACTAGTGCACACACCAATGGGAATGACTGAAACGTGATTTTTCTCGAACACTGGTTATAGATGTGAATTTGCTGGCAAACGAAATCAAAAATCTAAACGCCCACTTTTTTCATCACGTCAAACATGGTTTCGATGTCGATCCGAACAAGGAATTACACTCCCAAAGAGAGAAATTTATCTGGTCTTCGCCGAACTTGATTTAGCAAAGTTTATTCTGCAAGTTTAATGACAGCTCTTTGCATTGGCAGTTACATTTGAATTCGTCCATTGCTACATATTTAACAAAAACAAAAGCTATAAAGAAAAACTGTTGGGCAATGCCATACTAGAGGTTGAAAAAAGTACTCATATTTTATTATTTATTATTGGCATATGGGAAAAGAAATAGAATTTCTATTCAACTAATTCATTGAACATATATTGAAGTATTAAAAAAATATTCTTTAATTATAATTTTGTTACAAAGTCCATTATTTAATCATTTCTTCTTAGAACAGAAAAGCGAAAAGTTGTATGACCTATAAACTATGGCCTTCGGAAGTACGTACGGATTTATTTTTTCTAGTTTTTTTTTATTTGAAAGCGCTTTTTTTAAGATCTTTTTTTCTTTACTAAAAAATACGCACTAAATTATTAAAAAGTTTACATTTAATCGAAAAACGGCTACGTACTTCCAAAAAAAAGAAGCATTTGTCAAGCTACCATAAAATTTTCAGATAAATCGCTGCAATAGGGTCCTATTAATCTGTCCTCTTAGTTTGAAAAATGTAAGTTTGAGAAAAACGCGTTTAAAGTTTTAATTTTACTGCCACGAATGACAACTGAAATGAAAAACGAAATTGATCAACTATCAATCACAACCGGAAACAAATGCGAAGTTTTCGTACTATGGAGGCTGCACAAAGAGCCACAGATTACGCGCTTGTATTTTCTTTAAGATTTTATTTGAATTTTCGTTAGCGAACATTCGAACTCTTATCAAGAATATGTGTTAGTTAACGGCCTCTCTTTTTCACCTCACATAACCGCATGTGGTGTTTTCACCACATTATTTATGAATAAACTTTTTTTTTGTTCAGTGGCAACGCCAATTCTTTCAAGAATGAACAGCTGTTTTTAATTGTCAAAATAACCTAAAACTTGTTTGTGCGATGGAATAGTTGTTCTTAATGCGTGATTATTTAACAATTTATTTGTACTCTAAAGTAGAGTTAAATTATTTGTTATAAAAATTGGATTATATTGAAATGCGTATACGTCGTCCCCGCGGTATTACAGTGCAGCAATTAATGGTGGTAACTGCAATCGGTTTCTTAGGCGGCGTCTACATTTGGAAACCTCTATTTCAAAAATATCGGGAGGATAGATCACATCAGAAAGAAAATAGTGAATCAAAAGTGCCGCTATCTTCAGACGGTGGTTTAACTACAAAATCTGTTACGGAAACATAACTAAGAATAAAAATGTACGATATTTAAAATTTATTTATTAATTCATGACAGTTTACATGAATTCCACAAAGGCTATTTTCAATCTTGTTCGGAAGATTGTATTTGTGTCTAATATCATGTTATGTTTTGCTGACTGCTCATTTTTGTACATAAAATGAGCTGAATAAAAATTTTGCAGCGGCTACGAGACTTACATTTCTGTTTAGCAAATATCTATGATAAGAATGCTTGATTTCAACCAAATTCTAAATAACTGTATTAACTGTATACAGTTTAATATTAAAATCCTCTTTGTTTATTATCTGAAAACTTAATATTGTTATATATTTTCCCGAAGTAAAGTTTTATTAAATCAACGTTAATAATATTTCTTTATATTTTAGATGAGCACCAGTAGTAATCTTTTTCAAGCATTGAAAAAGTCACCAGTTGGCGTTATGGCTGCTGGCATATTCTCCACGTTGGCCATAGTTGGCACTTATCGTTTCGCCATTAGGCCTATACTGGAATGTAGACGTCGCGAAGAAGCTGAAGCTTTTGCCGAATATATATTTCAACAAGAGAAATCTAAGAAAACATCATCATCAACTTTTTAGCAACAACACATTATTCAATTAAACGCAAAAATCTAAAATGTAAAAAACATATTCATAGTATAATTTTTGTAATTGTAAGGCATAATTATAATAATGGATTTCCCATTGTTTTCAAATGCAAATCATATTACATAACGCACATATACACACATACACGCAACAATAATGCATGTTAATAATGCTGTAATTTATTTGCGTTTGTAGCCGTTGGGAAAATGGAAAGACTTTTTGGCTATGTTTAATTTAAACTTAACTTCACTAACTTCTGAAGGTGTCACGACAGATGGAGATATAAATAATAAAAAATAAGATTGTAATTAGTTATTGAGAAAGTAGAAGAAACAGATTACACAAAAATACTGTAACGCTGAGAGTTGAAAAACACTGTATCAGTGAATGCGAGATGAAATTGATTTTGTTCTTTTTATTGTTAAAAATTTTAGTTCCATTTAATGAAATTTTGAAACACTAAATGAATTCAGTAATAATTTTATAGTTTTTACTTATTAAAATGAAATTATAAATGAATGAAACTAAGAGAAATGGAAATAATGTATCATTGAATTATTTGATTAAATAAAAATTGCAAAATTTATAACTTAAACCATGCTTGAAAAATATTTATTTAATTTTTTTTATGATTTATTTTAAGACCAGAGAAGAAAGTTGTTTTATTTGAAATTTGTTATAAACGTAAAAAAGCATGTTTTGCACTTTCTCTTGGTTGCCGGCGATTAGAAAGGCCATTTCAAGCTTATTCACGTAAACAAAATACAGGTGCTCATCTAAATCTGCTTCCACCACCGAAAGTTGTGACCTAGTAGCCTTCGTTGGACTAATATAAAGTATGTGTGCCATCGTAGTTGTTGTTGCAGCCTCTAGTCTAATTGATTTAAACGAAATATCTCATTATTTGATCGGTTTCTCAAATTAGTTTTTTTAAATAAATATCTCGGAAACTATTTTTTGTTATAAAAACTGCAATAATGCTCGTTTGTCACATTAATATATTAAACAAATAATGAGGATTAAGTTCGTTTGCAACCGGCTGATATTTTTGTAATTTTTGTCAAATACAGGAGGACACTTGCATAGGAGATGGTCTATTTCTGGACGAGTTTGGTAGAATTCTGTTGATAAATGCATTAAATATTCGATTACGAGTCAAGTGCGGGGTGGAAAGTAACAGTCCGATATATGAGATAAAAGCCTGGCTGTTGCCCGTTTCGTCTATATTCAATAGTTCGTGTTCCTACTTATCCTGACTTCTATACGTGCAGTAGAATCCGTTTATTATGACATCGAAGGGAATTGACAAACATACAAATCGTTTATTAAAAAAAATTAAATATCTAATAATGTATTTTAATAGAAAAACATAGCTATATGTATGTACATACATAAAATCATAATAAAAATTACCGTAATAAGTATATACATACAAGTGTTAATTAATTAATAAATCAGTAATTTTTGTCTGCTTTTGTTCTTTCTTCTGGTTGTAATAAAAGCTTCTAATACTATTATGCATAGGAGACATCACCATGGTCAAATTACCATTATTTTCAATTTCGCTAAGAACAAATAATAATTATAATAATTCTGCAGCCTTTAATGTCTCTTCTGCGGAAGGTAATGGTTCTTCCGAGGACAAGACGAAATGTCTCCTGCCATCAAACAAACAATTTATGGTCCTTTGCCCATTGGCAACGGCAAATACCGCAGACGATGGAACGATGAGCTGTGCGTGCTATAAGATGATATTGACATAGTTCAGCGAATGGAGAGACAGCGGCTACGCTGGCTAGGTCATGTCGTCCGAATGGATGAAAGCACTCCCGCTTTGAAAGTATTCAACGCAGTACCCGCTGATGGAAGCAAAGGAAGAAGAAGACCTTCACTGCGTTGAAAGAATCAGGTGGAGAGTGACCTAGCCTCACTTGGTATTTCTAACTGGCGCCAAACAGCACAAAAAGGGATGCCTGGTGCTCTATAATTAATTCAGCTATAATTGCGTAAGCTGTGCCAACGCCAATGAAGAAAAAGAAACCACAAAGATAAAGCGTCCTCATCATTTGTATCAACTATATGTTCTTCTATTTGAAAAGGTAACACGGTTTTCAATGAATCCTACGTGGAATCCTGCTTGAAACAGTTGTGAATAATATTTTGTGACATTTTATACCAGATATCATTAATCATTAGAACTTGCATCTAGCACCGTTATTTTTATAGACGAGTTGAGTGGTCGTATTATTCCTGGATCCATTGGTTATCGTACCGAGCAATTATCAACTATCAAACAAATCTTCTTCTTTCCCCAAATCGCGACTCCATTCTCGAAACCATTTTTCAAACAGTAACGTCAGAATCCAAGCTCTGCGATTGTAAGCATAATCGACAAGTAACGATTTGACACTCCTAAAACATCTTAGTTTTGGTGACTTTCCAATAACTACCAATTTCTTTTTCTCTGCGCCACTCTTATTTGCAGCTACCATGACAATTATTCTATCTATCTCTCGGCAACTTGTCTCCGCTGCAATTCCGTCATTTAAATTTTAAAGTTTGGTCCGATATTAATTTGTTGTTGTTGTTGTTGTTGTTGTAGTGACTACGTTAACCCCTCAGTCCAGTTTCATCAGCGGTAAATATCTCATCATCAGAAAATTGTCTTCGTAGATTCGGCCACACAGACATCAACCAGTTTGTTGTTGCGTGCGGCAAAAACGGTTTCCTTCTCCTGTAGCATAGGAGCACTGACAGGTATTCCTTTGTTTCTCATGATTTTAAGCCATTTTTTTGCCGCGCTTTTCGGAGCCTCTTCGATTTCAAAGCAAAGCTACGTAGACTTCTTTCAATGAAACAAATTTTAATTATAAGTTAATAGTTTGTTTTTGTTTTTGTTGTTGTTGCTGTCATATCGACTTTTCCAATCCCGCTTAGGGTCAGGTTAGTTAGTCTAAGTCACCGAGGTCATCCAACGAGAGGTGGTTAGTGTCGTGCGGGGACTCGTTATGCTCTAACAACAGCCGGTACGCAACAGAGTTGAGCCGGATTTTATCCGGAAAAGGGTTATCACCCTTCTGGCAATCTAACACTGTTCAGATCAACAGGTAACATTTGTACTCCTGACTTTTACACACCATCTGAGTCCAGCAGCATGTCAGCATGGCTTCCTCAAAGTGTATAATACCATAACAGCACTTAACGTCATAAACACTCGGTTGGTCAATGGCCATAACCAAAGTCGGCCCTGTGTGGGATGCTAGCTTTTTACACTGTCAACCATTCATTACCACCAGGGTTGAAGAGGTGGATCATGAGCTACTACTCAGTCCACTATCAATAAAATTTCGAGACCAAACATCGAAAATCAGGAATATTAAACAGGGGCTCTGCAGTTTGTTGTCCTCTTCCCATTACTAATTAACTTCTATATTTCGAAGCTCTTTACAGAATTTTAAAATTGTTGCTAGTATCGAACGCAAAAAAAGTCCCCGGAAAACTTCAACAGAAATAGACCACAGGATAGCAGTGGTCTCGCAAAGAGACCCAAAAAAGAGTTCATCGCACATTCAACCTGAAATTCAGGATGAATTCACTGTTCACATATCGAAGAGAACAATTGCACGGCATTTGGTCGAATCTGAACTTCATGGAAAAGCAGCACGCAAAAAACCGCTTCTGACCAAAATCCAAAGAAAACTACGTGTAGACTTTGTCCATTTTCATTGGTGTCGGACCCTAACCAAGTATGTCGTATGGAACTGTGAAACGAAAAATAATCGCGGTGATCCGGATGGGGAATTTTTTTCCTTTAATGGTGTTGGTCTACTCTATAGGATAAATGGAATTTTAAATTAGTAGAAATACGTCGACATAGTAGAAAATGTCGTGTTGCCTGGGGCTGAGGAGAATTTGCCTGTTATATGGAAAATTCAACGGGATAAAGATCCAAAGTTGATGAAAATATTGTTTGACGAAGATGCCATCAATATTTAGGAATGGCCGTCCTCCAATCCTGACATGAACCCGCTGGGGTGACGTTTATAGTCGCGAACCATATCAGCAGCGCGTTTTTTTCCTCCTGCTGTAATTCTTTCCCAAAATCTGTGAATTTTTGAAGAAATCTGCACATTACTAAAGCCGTTTTCTTTATGAGCCGCTATTAGAGCTTTCCCTTCAGTATTGTATTGTCCTTTCGGCGGGACCTTAAAGGGTATAAAACAACAAAATTTAATAATTTCAATGTCAGATTTAAGATTTTTCTTAAAAAAAAAAGTAAAGCTTACCTCTTTATTTCTTTATAAAATGATCCTTACCACCTTTTCGGATATACGAAATACGTACTGAAATTAACACTGATTATCTCTCTTCACTGAGAATACTCTAAGTTTTACATGTGCAGACTAATTACAGTTAAAAATAAATGGTTGCGTATCCGAAATGCAAAATATACGTAGCTTACACAAGGTAACGTAGCAAGTTTCAAAATAATTTTAAATAATCGGAAAAACCTGAAACTCGGTGGTTTGCGGGCGATGATTCCACTCCAGTGCCACCACATTCTCGTTTAACGGGATCGATCCGATTTCAAGACCAGAGCACCGATGCCCAGAGTATATTGAATTTATGGAGGGAACACTTCTCCAACCTGCTGAATAGTAGTGAAAATGGAGAATCCGGTGATGGTGAACCCGAAACTACAATGGATGGCGATGGAAAAGACGTTCTATAACCTGACAATGAAGAAATTCGAATAGCAATCGACCGCTTAAAAAACAACAAAGCGGCGGGAGCTGATGGCCTTTATCTCGGCCCAATCCATAAAAAAGGGGACCCCACAGTCTGTGCCAATTACCGTGGATTAAGCCTTCTTAGTATCGGCTATAATGTCCTGTCGAGCGTATTGTGTTAAAAGCTGAAGCCCACCGTCAACAAACTGATTGGACCTTATCAGTGTGGCTTCAGACCTGGTAAATCAACCACCTCTTCGTGGATTTTAAAGCCACCTTTCACAGCACAAAAAGGAGCTGTCTCTATGCCGCTATGTCCGAATTTTGTATCCCCGCAAAACTTATACGGCTGTGTAAGCTGACGCTGGACAACACCACAAGTGCGGTCAGTATTGGAAAGGACCTCTCCGAGCCGTTCGATACTAAACGAGGTTTCAGACAAGTTGACTCTTTGTCGTGTGATTTTTTCAATTTGATACTGGAGAGAATAATACGAGCTGAATAGAGAAGGTACAATCTTCTATAAGAGTGTACAGCTGCTGGCGTATACAGATGATATTGACATTATCGGCTTCAAAAACTGCATCGTTAGTTCTGCTTTCTCCAGGCTTTATAAAGAAGCGAGGCGAATGGGTTTGGTAGT